CTGCCACTTTTGCTGTGTTTTCCCTGCTATTTCTGAGTACATAGATGCATGTGCTTGTGCAAATGTACGTACAAATGTAAATTCATATATACATATCTTTATAAGCTTACTACTAGGATAAAAAACTCACTTCTCTTCTCGACTACCTGAAATACTCTCATACTATTACACATAAATATGCCACACATCCGCATGCACACATGCATACTCGTATGTCTGTACACAAATAACCCCCATTTTTGTTTAGCCCGTATTCCTGGTAGGATAGCGGAGAGCCGTAGCCGTATCAGCGCTTAATATGTACGCACTGGCAGAAAGAAAGAAAGAAAGTTAAAGTGAAATACGATAAAAACGTGTATTCCTAGAAGCCGGGCGGAAAATATTAGGTTTGCTTTGTTCGATAGCTTTGCCGACTGTACGTGACTATTGTGCGCTTTTGTGCATGTATTGTTATGCTTGTAAGTATATACGTATGTAACTAAATAAAAAAAATTAAGAGCGAAAATTATGTTATTTGATTGCGAAGAAAGTTGCCAGGTTTTCGTGAAATCAAAAATTTTCATACACGCTGAATTTATGAAGAAAAAGTTGTTATTTATTTCACTGTAATTCAAGAGCAATATCCAAACTAAGCTTGCAGCAGTAACATTGTCAACAATTCTTTTTATCCGTTAAGCAAAAATACTTTATTTGCCTTTATTTACTTAAGCAATACTTTTTTTTCAAGTGACTTGCTGAACGCCTTTCATTATTTTTGCCCCTAAAAATTCTTTACTTTTATCATTATATTAAAGAAATTTAATATACATTTGTGTAGTAAAGAAATATCCGTTATTTTCGAACACATGGCATTAATATCCGTATCTCGAATTGTAATTGAAAATCATCGAGGTTGATTTAGCATAATCGTAACAGTGTAAATCCGCTCAGGTTCTGCTAGATGGCGTTCGAAAGGTGACATTTCGTACTAGAAAAGCTTTTCTGACAGTTCTGTGAGCGGTTGATTCAGTTATGTTTGAGCGTGCGTCAAAGATAGATACAAGCAAAGAGAAAAAAGTCGCTATATTTTCCAGTATTTTTTCTATAGAGACGAAAACGCAAGCCAGGCGGCTGAAAATATGAATAGCGCTTATGGTCTTGGTATTGTTTTAGCCAATCATCAACAACATCGGTAATTTTGATGTAAAAGATGATTCACGAAGTGGAAGGCCAATAGTCGAAGCAGTCGGTAAAGTCGTGGACATTGTAAGAATTGTACAAAACACTGCTACAACCATTTGAGTAGGGCTAGATACGAAAAGTAGAAATTAAGATCTGATTATGATAATTTTTTAAATATAGGTCCCTTTTCCGGAGAGAAGAGTAGCCCTTCTTAGTTTTGAGACGTCGAATCTAACATAACCCACTTCCCGCCCAACCAACCCATGGGAGCGCCCGGAGATAATCTAATGTCCAACAGACGGTAAGCCGAAAACCGTTGACAAACCGGACTGCCCTGAACCCGATACCGACTGCTTAAGGTCGCGGTTGTACTTGTCTCTTACATTAATCAGCTACAGATTGGCTCATAAGCTGCTAAAAATTACATTGAAAAAGAAGAAGGAAATTACTCCATTAATTAAAGCCCTTGGTGAGTAGGTTTTGATACAGCAAAACGAGTCAGAGGATTCAATGCTGGCGTAAGGAGAATTAAGATCGTTGCAAAAACATATAAATTGTATAGTATTATGTTTGGAATAATCTCAAAGCTTGCCTATCAGATCTTGCAGTGGCTTAAACTCTCCAGAACTCTAGAAATTTGTATTTTCGAAGAAATTTCGAAAAATCGATAGAAATTAATTCATTACAAATCAGCTTAAAGTACTTTTATGGATTAAAGGAATTTTTTTTCTATGAAAAGATCTGCGTGAGATTTTATAAAAAACTAAGTCCATGAAAGTAGACAAAATCTCTAATACAGACAAGTCGAAGTAATATGGAACCTAAACTCGCTGCCAAGGTTGAAGCATTCTGCTAAAAAGGGACTTTGAAATCACATGTATTAGCTTGAGTTCTCTCTGCAATTTAGAGCAGAAAGTTTCCGGAAAATGTCATTTAAACTGCCCGCGCGGTTTCCCCTTAAGTTGGTTGCACTGCCCAGCAATCAGTCGAACACAGTTCCCTCTGCGAATTTTCTTTTACGGCCGAAACGGGTTCAACGGAAACAAAAATATTCGCGTGGGACCAAATCCTGTGAGTGCAGTGGTTGATCGATGGTATTATAATACCTTTTGATCTTGAAATCGTTCATTTTGAATCATTTTCCGCTTTAATTGACGATTTGTTCCGTTGAAACGAATACACGATGAACCAATTTCCGAAGAATTTCTGTTTTTAATATATTGATAAATTTTTCATTTTCATGGCGAAAGCTCATGATGTGGACTTCGCACGATCGAAAAAAGCTTTAATTTCATTTTAAAAGTCTTTTAGTTTATAAATTACCAGTTCGATCAAGTTACACGAAGCCAAGAACACAAATGAAAAATGTTACATTATTGCGTTTAATTCTTTTACTATATCTACAGACTGGTACGTGAAGTATATGAAAACGTATATTTTTGAACTGTGTGATTCCCCTTTTTGATTTAGAAATTAATGTGCAGTGGCAACCTTTCGGAAGGACGATTTTCATTTCAATGGTATTTACCAGGTTTTGTTTCTCATCCGCTTACAAATGCTTTTATTTCTATTATGCTTAACGCTTCGCTCATTTGTTTCATATGTATTTTGTTTCCTTTTTCTCTCGATATTTTGCACAAATCCCAACATTCGTTACACACTTATGCACATATATTTACTACAGAAGAATGTCTTAAAAGTTCATGCACCTTAATAAAATAGTAAGGAAATGGAAATGTGGATGAAAAGTACGCATGTCTAAGTAATTATGTGTGTATGCATGTATGTATGTAAAAATATACATGCCAATGTATTTTGCTCTCCCTTAAGCCAAACTTTTATTTATTTTGTTATTCCTTTTGACAATTGCTTCTTGAATGTTCATTACACGAATTCTCTGAGCTTGTCAACAGTCCAACCGCTCGCATATATAAGCATCCGTATTTACTTGTTGTAAGGAATAGGAAGTAAGTATGTATATCCATCGTCCTGCATTTGGTGTGTACTTTAGTCGTTCTGGAACAAAAAGAAAAAGAAATAATAACAATAACATATGCATTCGTGTATGTATTGTATTTATATAAAGAAACACATGACAAGGATGCTTGCCAAGAACAAAAAAAAATGAAAATAAAAATAAATGAGTAAAAGTCAGCGTACCACCACTCCATGCGTTGTAAAAGTTGTCACGTGTTGAAAGCAGAATGTCCGTTGGATAATGAGGTTATTGAGGCGACAGTTTGGCTGATGGGCCGACCCCATAACATGTGTATTAAGCATTCTATAGTAATTGGATTTTACGCAATTGTGATTGGACACCAATGTAATTCCGTACATATTCCTGAATGATAATCAAGTATCGGGCTTGCTCGGTCGAAAAGGCACGTTACAAATCTTACCCATCTCACATTGTTTTTTAACCGAGTTTTAGAAAATGGAAGAGTGTTTTTTGTTTTTGGTGTTGACTTTTAATTTTATATGTATATGTAGTGAGAGCTTTACGTTCATTAGGACCTTTTGGGTAAAGAATTTCCAATTTTAGCATATTTTTAGGAGTATATCATAGTAGATAACATTTCAGTTCTTATTTGATGAAGGCTATACTATAAAGCTCTTCCTGACAAAGAGAAGGGGAAGTTTTGGTTTCAGTGCAACTCTTACATAATCAGTATTGAAGGTCTCACTAAGAGCTCGTTGCAACCAGAGATATGGCTGCAAGCGGGAAGGCTCTCTACATATATAAAGTTCCCGTGTACTAGTAAAAATAAAGTTTGTCAGCATCTAGAAGCAAGAAGTAATGGACATGAAAGGCGGGTAAGTTCTAATGGCACTGTAACATACAGCGGTTAGTTCGGTGTTGGGTTCAGGTTAGGAGAAGGAGTCAGTCGTCGTGTGCTGAAATTTTTCAAAAAATTTATACTTATGTAGCTTATTTACTTATGTAGCTTATTTACGTTACGTTGACGTGTTCGGACCAGAAGGAAAGGTGAGCTTAGATACATAGATTTTAAGTGGCAATTAAAGAGGTAGTAAGTACCGTGCGTGGTCTCGTTGTATGCAGGACATACCATGGCTTTATTGGGTTCAAGTCTGAATAGGTAGGAATTTAGCTGCCTACAATATGCCGGTCTTAATTGAGCGAGTATAAGGAGGTCCCTGGAGATCTTCGTGTATGCAATAGGTGGTGGTACGATTCGAGGAACGCCGTTCAGTGTGAGAGACCTCAAAAAACACCTTAATGGACTTTTGGTGAACTGCATTTTGAGCATGTCTGTAAGCCGTTTTGTCCAGCAATTCTTGTATGTGGTAATGAGTAATGCAATTATTCTAGAGAACTACTAATTTCCTGCTCCGTTTGGTAGCATCTCAACATATATTGCTTGGACAGCACAGCATTATTCTCCTTAACTTTACAATTGATCCTCTGGCGGTATCGGAAAGTTTCCTGCCACGATCCTGAGATTGGTATCTGGGGTGGTATGTCGTTTTTTAATCTGACTCTCTCTAGTTCCCGGCGTTTAGATCGGAGTAGCATAGTTTACGACTGGCCTGTCAATTGCAGTGCATGCTGAGATTGGTAACTGGGGAGGTATGTTCCCCAAAATCTCGAAGGAGAAGGACTTGCTTCAGAAGAAACAGGGGTCCCCCTGTGGTTTAGGGGCTAAAAATTTACCCGCGGTAAAGCATGCCTATCATAAGAGGCGAGTAAAATCCAATAGTTCCCGTGGCAGTTGGGAACAACACCAACAACAAGATCATTATCTTGAAAAGGGTACCACTGCAGCAATAATAATAACAAAAAATTACAATTTTGAATTTATCAAAGTTTATTACGTGGGTATATATGTATGTATGAAATTTGCGGTACATATTATATATTTCCGTAATAATAAATTCTTTTATCAGCTATTTTACCTTTCCCTTTTTTGATAACAAGATTTTCAGTTTAGTAACAATTTTACTCTACAAATGCTGTACTTAAAACTAAAACCACATATTAACAAGCATACTGAACAATATTTCATAAATAATTAAATTAAATTTTTAACCAACGTCCGCTACTGCCACAAGAAAATAGAAGTCTTCTAGGGTGCTAAACGTTCATAAACCCAACCTAATTCGCCTTTGTGTACAAGCTTGCCGTCTACTTCCTGAAATTAAAAAAAAGATAAATTTAAATAAATTTAAATAAATTAAAATTTTTAAAATTTCATGCAAAGACTAACCCTTTCTATATCTGGACCACGCCGAAATTGTATCCGGTCATGCAGACGATCAGTTTGTCCCTGCCAAAACTCTACAGTGTGGGGACGTATTAAGTAACCACCCCAATTGGGTAATGGTACCTCACCGTCTGGACCTAATTTTGCCTTAATCTCTTGCTCGATTTCATCCAAATGTGTACGTGATGGTATACGTGTGCTCTGTTCACTAGCCAAAGCACCAATTTGAGATGCACGCGGGCGTTGATGAAAATATGCAAGTGAATCTTCTTGTGGTATCTTTTCTGCAACGCCCTCGATGCGTATCTGGCGGCGTAATGGCAGCCAATAAATTGTCATTGCTACATTTGGATTGCAGGCAATATCTTGTGCTTTATGACTGCCATAATTTGTGAAGAAACGAAAGCCGTCATCGGTGACATCTTTGAGCAGTACAAAGCGATTTGAGGGTTTGCCATTTCTTAAAAATTTAAATAAAATAATATAATTTTATTATTTGTTATTAGTAATAATTGAATATTTACCTATCCACAGTTGCTAAACTAGCAGCATTCGGTTCTAAGAGCTCCTCCGTTTGCAGTGCTTGGTCCAACCATTCGCGAAATAATGTAATTGGTTCTTTCACTCTGATATTTTCTTCCAGAAAAACTTCTTTTTTCTCACGATATTTTAAGCGAAGTGCTAAAGAAAAATAATTTGATACGGTTAAAAGCACAATAAGATATGTATGTAAATAACTGTACAGTTCTTTACCTGATAAATTGACAGTTGAAGACATTTTCCTGACTGCTAGCAATTGCTTCAAAACCACTAATCAGTTGAAAAGTCAGAAAAAGGTGATTGCAAGGTTAGATTCCCTTTAAATTTAGAGCTGCTATTTAGTTTATTTTCCAGTTGATAACACTTACTTTTGTTTAGTTACTTTGTCGATTACTTCGACTTTGCTTTGCTCTTTTCTTTTTGTCGTTGCTAAAATAGACCAATATTATGCACCAAGCAGTCGACAAACGAATGTAGCATCAGCTGATTTGTACATTCTCTTTTGTGTTCTCATTTCACGACGTGTTGACTTGACAGCAAGCTGATGTAAAAAGCTTTCTGGAAAGCTCTACTTGTCATATGCTTAATAAAGCTTTTTATACACAGTAAAAAATTATTTGCTCGCTCTAACTTTAATGAGACAAACCTACAGTATATGATTATAAACCATAATTTTTGCTTTTTTAGCCGAAGAAGTAATGCCTAAAAATTAAAAAAAATTGAAAAAATTCATTTTTAAATCGGATAAATTTACGTGTTTTAAAATTAATTTTTTATATATTTAAAATAAAAGCACTTAGAAAAAATTGTTGCTTAGTCTTAAACGCTAAAGTTTATTGAAATCGGTGGACTACAACATATATCCATACGCCAATCCATTCTGAAATGCAGCTTTGGTCAGAGTAATAAATTCGATTTTAAACGTTTTTATCAGCAACTAAATATAAATGAGGTATTCATGTGCGGTTACTCGAATATTTGTCTTCTTTACTTGTTTCTTCTCTTGGAAATGTAATAGAAATACTTCATATTGTCAGAGAATTTTATTTCTCAATTATGAACTGATGCGTCCCACAAAAAAAATTCAACAAAGTAGAGTAAAAGAAATGTGAATGAAAGTGTTTAAGTGGTCCTCATATATGTCACTCTAAAGTAGGTTTCAGATATAAAGTTTGTGATGACACAAAGTAGTAAGTATGCTACATATTTATTAGTTTATATTGCCTTTTCCATAGTTTTCCATAAATGCCAACTCTGACCGAATGTAATGTAAACAAAATTCGATATAAACAAAAGGTAAGAGCACAAAGAAAACATAAAATAGCGAAGAGAGCAAAGGCAAATACATAAAGGAAATTAAATCAGAAAGGGATAAAATGTAAAATAGAGACAAAAAGCAAAATGCAGTACAAGGATAATGATGACGATGAGCCAGGCTGTCAAATGAAATAAGTGCTCACGTACAAACGGCTGTTGGACATACGAGCGAACGGAACGTGCTTAAACGCAAAGCGATTTTAAAGTGACGGTGTGGCAGGTTGAATATATGTAAAGTATATGTATATATACAAATTTACATATAAAAGAAAAATTAATCAAATTTTTGTGCAGATATGTAATAATTAATGGAAGCAAATTAATCAAGAGTGCGCGTTAAAAGATGCATCAAGAAAGTATGTACGTACAAGTGAGTGTAAAATGAATGTGAAACTCAAAACAAAATTTAACGAGGATAATAAAGTATGAAAAAGTGTTTCATGCAAGAGATTCAATTGATTCAATTTAATTGTCATATATTGGAATACATACGTACATATTATGTGTGAAAAAGCAATAAGCACTTGCGAGCACAATATTCATGAAAGTGTATGTATAAATGTAGTGCGATTTGTTCTGAAATTATAAAATGTTATATATGCGCATGTTTTTTTAAAATTACTCACATACAATACATACAGTGGAAAAAAAAACGGGACACACTGGGCGTATGAGTAACCTTAAATACCCAACTGAATCACGCGAAAAGCAAATTACAGTGGAGAACGGCAGCGGTAAAATAGAAAATTTAGAAAATTAAATGTGATTCAAAGCAATTTGTTGCTGCTTCCATATAGTCTACAACAACAATAATCATCGCTAAACTGTAGCGGCAAAGTAGGCAGTTACTAAACAGAGCAAAAAAAAAAAAAAGGATAGACACACCAAAACGCAGTGCTCCCCAACATTGGCATCCACTCGCTCACATAAATACTTACAAAATATAGACATATATTGCACATAAAAGCAGTAAAAGAGCGTAAATTTGAGAATTACGTTTGTAGTTATATGCCCATTGAGTGCCTTATATCCTTTGATAATAATCCTCAAGGTGTTTATTATGCTGGACAGGAGCTATCTGGCATTGTTGACCTTAGCGTCGACGCAACAAAACGAATTAAAGGTAAGCAAGATATTTTTAAATTTCCAGAGACCGAGTAGTCTCACCTGTATATGTACATACATGTGTATGTGTGCCACACAATTTTGAAATGTGTAATAGAAGAGAACAAATATTTACTTGTATATGTACACAAATTCATATTTCAGTCGTACAACCGTACATAGATATGTGTACTCGTGTGTTTGGATTAATAATACATATATATATATATATGTACTTGCATCGCTTTATATGCATATGTCATGCATTTTAATTGCACTTCTCATTATCAAGTAGATTAAGGCTAAGGATAAAAAATTATATAAATAACCACAGCTATCACGCATATAGCATAATGGAATTCTAGGAAAATTCGTGTGTAAAATATTACAAATGGAAAAAATTAGCAAGAAAAAATTTTAAAATTTTCGAAGAAAATATCACTTTGCTTACGTTTTGTAAAAAACCATTGTATTAGGTTTTCTTCCGCCGTTTTTTCCAAAATTAAAAGCTTAATTGCAGATATATTATTCAAAGTATTGTCCTTCTCTAGCGACAACTTTCTCCCATCTTTCTGGCAATTCTCGGATCCCGGCTCGAAAAAGGAGTCCTCTTTTGACGCTGTCCATGAAGCAATCCATTTTTCCAATTCTTCGAAGGATTGAAAATGTTGATCAGCTAGGCCGTGTGCCATTGAACGGAATAGATGGAAGTCAGAAGGGGCGACAACTGGGGAATACGGCGGGTGGGGCAAGTCTTCCCATTTCAGCGTTTCCAGGTACTTTTTGACCACTTTTGCGACGTGAGGCGTGACTAAAGCGCATCAGTTGCGTTCGGTAGCGATCTCCTGTGATGGTTTCACCCGGTTTTAAAAGCTCGTAGTAAATCTAACCGAGCTGGTCCCACCAAATACACCATGTTTGTCTTCGACATCGGAATCACCATTTTTAAAACGTTGAAACCACTCCCGACACGTTATTTCACTCAGAGCAGCATCACCGAAAGTTTCTGAGAGCATTCGATGCGATTCAGTTGCATTTTTTTCGAATTGCAACAGAAAAGTAAAGCTTCCCGCAAATGGCGAGAATTAGGCACATAAACGTACATTTTCGAGCGTGAATAATACGAAAACAAAAACAACTGTCACTGAAACGGTGATGACAATTCGTTGGGCACTGTCCACACTCACTTTAACGGGGAACGATTAATTGATTTCAACGTAAAATCTGCTATAAACTGTTTTTTTTTTTATTAAATATAATATAAATAAATAAATTTTTGTAATTTCAAAAAAGATCTCTTTCACTGGATAAAACTCTCTTATAACAACTCTAAAAATAAGTACTCACTGTCCTCGATTCAAGTCTCGAGCCAATATTAAGTTTTTTTTCAAAAGACACGAACCGGTGACTCCCTTATCGTTTTGCATACATCGAAAATAATTGGAATGAAAAATGTCTGGAAAATACGGCTAGTAGGGTAATGCCCTCCATTTCGGAGTTTTCAGGTAGTTTTCTTGGCTTGCTTTTTGGTCGTCTATGGCAGATTTTCGCGCAATTTACGGCTGAAACGCATTTCTTATTGTTGACAATGTTTCGCATCAGTATTTTTGCTTTGGAGTACATGGCTATAATCACTTTCAAAATACCTTCCTTTGACATTTTCCCAGAACAAAAAAATTATCTTTTGACATCTCTAGGTTTCAATCGCGCCTAATTTAACTGCTTTGAATAAATCCAAATTGCTTTAACCGAATGAAAATTGCTTGCTGAGTCACTGCCCATGATTTACTTCAGTTTGCATTTGACACGAGTCTGATCCAGTAAGGTCTCTACCTCCTCATCTTCAAACTTTTTGGGTTGGTCAGGGTGATCTTTGTCTTCGACACTAAAATCATCACTTTTAAAACGTCGAATCCACTCTCCGTATGAATTATTGTTCGGGTCAGATTCACTATAAACCACAAAAAAACCTACAAAACAGCTTCAGCGGCGCTTTTCCTTCAATTGAAGTAGAAAATCTGGGCATTCTCACAGAGGCAAAAAATAATGTTGTTGTCCGCAACAGACGCACCATTTAATGTTGGCAGGTGTAAAATCTTTCAAATGAAGTAAATAATCGCTTCCAGGATCGGCCACAACTTCATCACCAAATTCAAATTTATTCAAAGAATGAAATTTCTCTTTATTTACTATGTATGTATGTACATATATACTGCATTAAAATGAGGTTACGAAAATAATTCAAATATTATATATATTCATAAATAACTAAAATTGTTTGGGACTTTTGCGTTCGTCTTACTTGCTTACTGCAAGGCGCGCCTTGTTGTCCACAAATCTCGCAACAAATTACAACTTGGCGCGACATATAGTATGTCTAACCTATAGACTTGACACAGCTCGAGCGATATTCGCATTTTGATAGTTACATTTTTACATTGTTGTTGTTGCATAACAAATAAATTACGTCATCAATTTCGGGCTTCAGACATGCCGTGTGGGAGCTAGCAAATGGTCATTGGCCTGCATTCATTTGCACAAGTGTACATATGTAGATGCGTTACTCTTACAAACTGTTGAACATTTTCACGCCGAAACTTAAGTTTTTGCAAATATTAATATGTGTGTGTTCAGTTATAGCCAAAAAACTTGAATTGTAAATTTTTTATTTTCTTTTTTTAAGGAAGGAAGCTGCTTTTTGCTCGGTTCTGATTTGCAGGAAATTAGAAAAAATGAGTTTTTTCTTGCATTAAGTTTAGGTAGGGTTATCCATTTTGTGGTTTCGAAAATAAATGTAATTATAATGCAGATAAAAAATTTGTTCTTGATATTCCTTTATACACACTACACCATTTAAATGACCGCCTCTCGAATTCTTACAAACTCCATTCCGTTTGAGGTCACTTTCGACCACTTTTGGACGAAACATATTTCAGCCATAACTGGATGAGTGTTGGTTTTCAGGTACGGTCTTTCGTGTAGCCCCGCAAAAAATGCGAAAACGGGTATCAAATGAAAAAGAGAGACCGTTAACTACAGCATGTTTAACAGCACTTTTTTGAAATGTTCATTGTCGAGAACATTGAAACAGAATCTCTGGAGACACAGGCGAGCATTCCGTTACTATGTAAGAGCAAAGCGCATTGCTCTCATATTCAGTTGATTAAACTGTATAGTTGTACAGTTAGAAAACTTCTGATTTAGTAGGAGGAGCAATGGGAGGATTATCTATGTACAACGAGAAATAAGGCTCAGCTACGGTAGTAAGCATTTGTTGATTTTGTGAAGGATTTTTCGCAGTCGGCAACCAAGATTGAAGAAAAAGTTCATCTACAGGTAGGGACATGAGCATATGGAGCTGTAATATAATAAATTTTGCAGAAAGAATGGATCGCAAAGGGTTGACCAGAGTTAGCAGATATCAACTTAGAAGGGATAATCACACCGATACAGGAAAATTTGGTGAAAGAGAGCAAAGAACTTTCAGACAAATAAAGAGCGATAAGATAAGCTCGAGTACTCCAGATCAAAGTGAACGATATTGAAAGATATTTCTAAAATACTAATTTGAATCACTCCAAACTTTCAATCATCATTACTCAGTGGCCAATAGCACGTTTTGTCTTCAAAGCTTCAAGTAATAATTCGAAAAGACGGCTTCAGTGAATAAACCTGCAGCCGAGATCCTGAAAAATTATCCCGCATATGATAGAAAAAACTACCAGTCATTAATGCGAGCCATATAAAAACACTATGGCTGTGAGTACAAGGGGCAAATATAATCAGAAGCCCAAGAGGAAGAGTTTCCTCGGGGATGGAGTGGAACATTTGGACTATGAAGAGAGCTTTGGGGAACACCTCGAAAGGATAATAATCTAAAGGTTTATCAGCGCATGCAAATCCAAAATCAATGTTTGCTGTATTTTTTTGTATAATAATGTATAAAGCGAATCGTGTAGAGGTTAAAAATACAGGTGTGAGGGAAGAAATACTGAAAGCGCTAAAGCTCCATACGAATCAAAGTTGTAGTTGTGCAACCGTCGAAAAGATCATTGTCAAGATGTGCTGTTGGTGTAGAGAATTAGCACATTTCTGCCGCTACTTTCCAAAAGTCCGGGAATGAAAGAAGCTGGAGACGTCGAGTTGTCCTGTCAGCGAGCTTCACACACCATATTGTTTATGATGTTAAATTTCATGATTGGCGGTGCTTAAAACAGCAGAACTATTTCCACTGTGTGTTTCCATCTGCGCTTAATTGGGGAGAAGGAAGCGACATAAGGTCTTTGCTCCCCGCACCAACAGGGCAGTTCATTTGATCCTCCCTTATGACACCGCTATTCCATTCTTATATATACAAATACACTGAACATTTTGCTATTAAAGGCGAGTGCTTTTTAGAAGATCTTATGCGAATTTGGGTTGTTTAAGTAGTTCATGGCCAGTAAGTTCGGTATCTCCTGAAAGTTTTTTCCGTTCCTATCATCCATTATGTGCATACGCTGCAGCCCAGTGCATGTCGGGTACGAAGTCTGATGATAAAAATATGCACTATTATGGATTTTTGTTTCTAAATGCAGTCAGCCTTTGCCAGGGAATAGCGATTCCTTGGAGTGCATTTTTGATAAAAAAAAACTTTCAATGCAACAATTTTTAGCTCGAATATTGCTTATCCTTGCATGTTCCATAAGCCAAAGTAAATTTAATTATTGTGTATAAGCAAAAATATTTCGCTTAGTAAATTGTTGCTAAGTCTTTAGCTATAATGTTACTATGACTTGAAGCGGAACGCCCAGTTTTCTACTGCGCTTTGGGGATCAATTTAATTCAGCTGGGCCCGTCGGTCATTTATGTTTTGCCAATTCGTTGGTAAGAGTAAGTTGGCATGTTGATTGCGCTCGAATGGGTTGGCAGGTATCCAACATGTAATTGACTTTTCTCTTTTTTTAGCAAAATAGGAATTTAAAGAAATTTTAAAATATAATTGAAGAGTATGAAAGTAATTTGTGAAATTAAGCAGCTTCGATGTCAACAGCAAGTAATATGATTAAAAAATCACGATAATTTATCGACATTTTTTATTTCATCAATAGTCCAATTAGTTGTAAGTTTATATGCAGAAATTAAACATAACTGTAAAAGCACTGCGGTTAAATTCACTTCTAACTTTGTATTCCCATTTAGCGATACACATCACCGTTAGCGGCTATGCGAAGATACGCTGGATAAAAAAGGGCTATCCGCGCGATAGTGAACGTGCAATGTGTCGTGCCTACCGCTCGTATTTATCGTCGCGTTCGTATGTGCTCGGTTCATGTGCAAGCAGTTCGTGTATGGACTGGTCGGCCGGCGATTATTCGTATACGTTTCACGTAATACTGCCAGAGAATCTGCCCACTTCGTTCGATGGGAAATATGGGCAGATTCATTATGAGATTATCACCACAATCGATCGGCCAGCCCGATATCCGAAAGTCTTCAAGTTGCCATTTACGGTAATACAACCGTTGGATTTAAATGCGGACACAATATATAGGGTAAGTGAGTATAAAAAATATTCGAAAATACATAAATTCAGATATATGTATGTATGTATTCAAAATAAATACAAATGGCGGCCGCCGTAGACGATGGGTTAGCTTTGCGTACTGCCATTTGAAAGGCTCGCGTTCAAATCCCTGTGCGACCAACATCGAAAAGTTAAAAAAAATAAGAGCTAAGTTGAATTGTCTAATTTCGGGCGGCCCTCGGCAGGGAATGTCAACCCCTCCGAGTGTAAATCTGACATGAAATAAGGGCTCCTCGTAAAAAACCATCAGCCTTTCGCAGGCGGCTTAGTATAAAACCGCAAATCGGAGAAGGAGCTCGGTGGAAGATCGCTCCGGCGGTTATAAAGCGCCAATTTTATATTTTTATATATTCAAAATATATTTATTTCACTAGTCCACTTTCGAAAATTTCCCATATCAATTTTGCAAATTCTATTATAATACTTTGTACAATTATCACTGCAGGTCCCTTTAGAAATCCTCGATCGCAAACGTTTCTGGAGCTTTTGCTGCCCAACAGGCCCACTAACTGTGAAATTCTCCACACCCTATTGTGGTTATGCGCCCGGCCAAAAAATTCATTTCGTCCTTTACATTAATAACGAATCGTCCATTGATATCACCGATTGCGAAGTGAAACTGAAACAACAAGTCAGTTACGAATCGCATGATCCCCAACATGAATACCGTTATGATAAACATCTTATTGCACGCAAACAATTCGGTAATGTTTTGCGTTGGAGCCGAAAGGTTTATCGTGGCTTTCTCAGCTTACCATCCATACCGCCGTCATCGATGAAAATTGTTTGTCCCATAAACATTACATATTTGATAAAGGTTATAATTATACCAACGGATTTCCATTGGAAAATGAAATTAAAAATACCCCTAACAATTGGTAGTATACCGATTATAGATAATATGGCAGCAGCAGCAGGGTTGCCAAGCCTGCTAGAAACCCAATATGCTATGAGTCGTGGCTATTTTAATGGACGGCGTAGGCTGCAGGATGTAAGAGTGTTGGCGGGAGAGAATTCAAGCATGAATGAGCAGCTTGTGGCGAGTGTGGGAGCCGAAGAGACTTCTGCTGTTGGTGAGCAACAGCAGCAAGAGGAAGGTGCCGCAACGGCTGAGGGTGCAACGAATGGCGGACAAACCGTTATACCGACATTGCTTATAACCGATGGTGACAATCCGCCCGATTACAAACTAATGAGTGAGTATTTACATGCACTAGTACAATATATAAGGAAATTTATTTATATCGTATTTTACTTAACCCTTTGGTGATGTACTCCTTTTAGTGCCACCTTCGTATGAAGACGCAATGGCGTTAAGTGATAAATTCTGTGATGACAGTGAATACTTGCAAAACGTCAGCTTAAGTAGTATTGTCTCCAATGAAACGGCCGAATCTTTTAAGCCCCGTTATCCCGTATACTACGAATACGAGACACCAATCATACCGCCCGGTAGTGATGATTCTACCTCCGATATTTAGAATTGAACCATTGGAGTACAAAAATACTATTTTCAGTTCAGGCCATTATTAGTAACAAAATTAAATCAATTTATTGCAAATTTGTTGATGTATTGCACCACTTGGAAGCACGTAATTTATTTATTGCAAATTTTTGGAATGCCAAAGTTTTAAGTTCGACATACAATATATTTCTTGTTGTCTTCATTTAAAATGATATAATATTATTATAGTAATATAACTGCAATGTCTGGCGAGCTATGAACGCTAATTGTTTAAAGAAAACCATAAACTTTTAATAAATTTACTTACTTTCTATGCACGTTAATGAGAAAGGCCAATATTTTAATGAATATGTGGAAATCATGTACGTTGTTATAATTTTCTAAATTATAAACTAAAATAAAAATCGATTGTTAAAATTAAATTTAATATGTTGAACATACAGTGTATGCTATTTGTATGTTGCCTGCCTGCTTAAATGAATGCCTGCCGAAAATTAAATTTATATAACATAACATTTAAATATTTAACATACATATATACATATACTTAGCCACCAAACAATCAGACGAAATTATATACAATCAGTTAGATGTACGTATAGCAATAGCAACAATTAAAATGAGATTCAAAAATAAGTTACGTAATATTAAAGAAGCAAAATAAACCCTCAGCACAGGAGTATTTTTATGCCTGCATGTACCATATGATTAAATATGTAATTTTATAATATTTTTAGGTATATATATATATGTAATAAATATACATATTTATGTCAACTTTTCATTCTTGTCTTTAACAAAACATAGTAAATCTCTTTAGTAAAAAAATCATTAAAAAGCATAATAAAAACCATAAAAAAAATATATATATATAGTAGATAACATTTGGATTTTATCTCAAAATAAGCTTATATCATAAGATGCATAAATGTGGACCTCCACTTAAATTATACCATACAAAATTTATTAAAATAATTTAGTTAATAGCATAAATAATTCGTTAAAAATTATTAATTTAAATCATTGAAGCATAGAATAAACATGATTAAAGTAATGGAGGTCAAATTAATAATCTTATTGAATCAAGTTTTGAGCAAAAAAATATAGTAATAATAATTTTACTCAAACATTTTAAGTTAGAACTAGAGCTCTATACGTGATACAGTAATTTCAAAGCAGTTTCCAGCTCTCTACCCGGTTGACTTCAAATCTAAAGCTTACATTAAACATGTTTCGTCTTTTTCATCCTACCCGAAAAAAATTCATCCTCTTTGCATTTCAAAAAAATAAATTCTGCATTTCTACATTTTTTTTTTAGAACCAGAGTAATGCCACGACTTTGTTGGCATTTAATTTAAATTTGGTATTAGTAATTTTTTTTGTGTTTATTCGAACCAAAATGACAATTTTTTCAAATAGCTCGATCGTTTGAAAACTTCTCGGAAAGAATAGTCTCCACATTTATCTTCTCAATATTGAGAAACTTCAACCATACGTACATATGTACGATTTGTCTGAATAGATCGATTCCAAGTTCACTTTCCGGAAATGAAGTGTGTCCCATGCGAATCTAGGTAAAAAGCTACGTCTGAACTGTATTACGTGTAAATCTAAAATTTTAAAAATAATTAAAATTTTCTGTGCCAGGTTCACTCTCCGTAAAATTATTTCTTATCGGATGACTGCGTTTCCCAATCACACACAGAACTGACCCTCAAAGTTTGAGGTTTGTGTGATCGCTGATTTGGGTTGTGGGTTGATCCATCAGTCATTCCGGACAAAGCCTTTTAAAGAAAGAGAAAAAGAGAGAACAGAATATATACACAATATATATATTAAGATATATAAATTACCTGTCATAAATAAATAAAAAGAAATGTCCAAGAAGAATTCTTTCAATATGCCAACTTCATATTTCTGTTCCCAGACACGTTTAGTGTGAAAATGGATCCACATATGTACATATATACTCGTGCGTTGCTCTTTTGCCCAAAGTTTTTCAGATTTTCAGCTTTATTGCTCAAAATTTCTTTAGCTAGTGCTAAAGTTTTTCACCATGCATAAGCAAGTTTAAAGTTATAGAAAGAGGTTTAGAAAAAAAGTCAAAATAGTTCCTTAAAATGTTCGAACTGCCCGAGCTTGTGCAATGAACGAGTATTCACGTATCCGTTGCTTCAACGTTCCAGCTCCTCGAAAATATTCCAATAAATTTTTTAGCTTTAGGCAGAACCAAACTTTTTGAAAACAGTCCAAAACCCAAGTTAACTTTCATTTCAATACAAAAAAGAGATGCATTTTTCTTTTTATTTTTTTAGGGATATATAAATTTAAAAGATCTTTTGATATTTTGTAAGCATTTAGTTAAAAAACAATTTTTATCTCTAAGAAGATTTCTAAATTTCTCACTGACTAATTTTTATTGATTCAGCTTAAAGTTAATCTTCATTTTAAGTTCGTAAAACACGCAAATGACTTTGACATCACAGCTGTCCGAATTATCAAAATATTATCTCTGTTTGCAAGAGCACACTTTTTTCTCGAAATAAGACCAAACGAAACAAACAATAAAAAAAATTCTTTATTATATATCAAAAAAAAAAAAAAAAAAAAAAAAAAAAAATGAAAAACTAATTTTGAGAATTATTCGGTCAACAGTCAGTGTAAACATGATTTCATAATATATTACCATCAGGAAGGCAAAGAGTATGATTCGAGTTTAACACAATTTTTTTCATTATGTATGTCTAACTGCATATATATTTTTTATGGATGAATTATTTTTCAAACAGAATTATCAAAGACGAAGAGCAAACTATAGACTGTTAAAGTTTATTTGAGGTAGGAAAGATGTTGGCAATTAAAAATGAGTCAGCGAATGGGCAATAATTTCTTTTATTCTACAATTTTCGATATTAAATTGAAAATTTCTGTCTTACCAATTTTGTGTCGTAAAGAGATTTTTTTACGGAAAAGCATTTTGAATTATTTAAACTTGTTATGATTAAGTGAATAACTCAGTTTTCATAATTGCATTTACTATATAAGTATATATGTATACTGAATTAAAATATTAAATTTAGGGCACATTTAGATTATCGTAAGTACATACTAGTTAATAGTGACAGGTGTGAAACATTTCCAATAACATAGTTAGTTACATCCAGGTAAAGGGATCTTTTCATATTTTGCATCTCCAATATTATTTTTTTTAATTGAGCCACGACGATTCTTCAAATCCTTTGTATTAGTACAGTTTCTGTATTGTAAAGTAGAACTCTCTTGTAAGCACACAATTTACATACTTAACTTTACATGAACTTGCAACTGACAACGGCAGTGTCTGTCTGCGCTCTTATAAACTCGTCCATTACTTGCACATTGCTTCGGATAGTTCTTTAAGAATATTGAAAAATTGTTTATTTATTGAAAAGTGGTGAAATATACTTCCCCTTTTACACCTATGTATTTGCTGTTAACGACATTTCTCAAAAAAAAAAAATTATCATGACAAACTATACTTATTGGTTTATGGATTTTATGGATTTTATGATATCAAAATATTTTTTTTTTCAATATTTTTGTAACCAAATTAATTATTAAGTAATTGGAAAACAAAATATCGATAAAAGCATATAATGGAGAAAAAATACATTTATGGAAAATGTTAATGTTTTTAGTTTTTATTTTACTTTTGTAATGAAATTCTTAAAATGGAATAATATCATTCTTGAAACTTAGTTATTGTGTTTTGGTATGTAATTTTTAAAGGCTTAGATATAAAATTAAACTAAAATATAATATGTAACAATATAGTTAATATTAGCTACAGTTTTAGCCAACGTACATATATTTTAATAGTTTTATTAACAATATTTTGCACATTCTATGTATACTTTTTGCATGTTTGCATTTTTCTTGATCCTAGACAAAATCACCCAGAATGCCTTGTTTTTTTTTTCATTTCCAAGCACTAAATTTCTTTAAGAAAATCAGTAACCAATATAATGCTAATCTGTCTTTCGTCTTCCTTTACTTTCTCTGCATCATCTCATCCTAAATGATCGTTCATCAACAACAACATCATATGCAATACTTCAACTGTATTGAAATATATATAAACATATATGTATATGTAAATAAAAATCCCCGCCGCTACACCTGCTGCCTTTGAAACCCACTCTGCGTCCATCCCAATAATTAAACAAACAACCGAAAATTCCTTAAATGCTTGCTATAGAAACACTCTACGACGAATCACCATCGCAATTGCGTATCGAGATACAATCATCGGATTCCACAGATTCGTCACATCAACCACTTAGTGCGACCAGTTTCAGTGCTTTCCGCAAGGAGAAAAAGTAATATGTAAGACGGAGGACCTCCATCCAAGCGACTCGGCGAAATATGGCTTAAATTTGTAACAAACGACGTAAATCGGATATCATCGTCACGGCCGCCGAGCTCTTATAAAGTGTAAAACAAACTTATGCCTTCTTCACAAAAAAAAAAAAAATAAGAAAAAAAATAAAAATGATAAAACAATTTTAACTTAACGCTGATTAATGTGATGTTTGATAACAACTTTTATGGCTTAAGAATAACATAATGAAAACTAGCTTTTTCAATAAAAAAAGACGAGTATAAAGCAAGCATTAAAATCTCAGCTTATTCCCATACGTACATATATGAATTGTACGTAATTCTTTTAAATTGAACAAACCAACTAACATGATCTGCTTGTACTTTAGCAGCTAAGAAATGCACTACAAGTGATTTAAAATCATCAAAAACTACCACTCACTGAAATATTTACATTCACTTCAAGCGTTTAAACCATACACACTCATATATGAAAGCTTTAGTACTCTTAAAATAGTTAAATATATAGTATATACTCGTATACTTAGTTAAAGAGATAACTGATATTATAAAAATAAATAGAAATTATTTATAAAATATACAAATTCTTTTTAAGCTGATGTGTTATATTAAGAGAGCCCTTCACACTTTGAGTGCTACTACTTTTTGAAAACCGTCTGAAAATATTTAAAAGCCAAAGTCTCGTCAGTTGATATAATTGGAGATATCTCTAGTCATTATGAACATATTTAACCTTTTTATCGAAGACTACCAGGGGCAACTATATGGATATCAACACTGTCCAGGCTTCTGTACCATGTAGCAGAACGGCAATGATGAGTGCCTAGTGGAGTTTGGTCTTTGTTCATTAAGGGAGAGAACTTTACTTTTCTACTCTACTCACTCCAAGGTGGCATTTATTGGCAAGCGGGATTCTGCTTTGGATTTCAAGGCTAATATTTATTATTATTGGCCTCCTGCTTTACTCTTTAGCTTGTGCCTTGTCTGTTTAGCTCTGCAGTTACTGCTATTTTCTTCAGTATGAAATTGAAGAACTCGTCTGGTGTCGAACAGCTCGGAGAGGTGCTTCTGGTGTTTTCCAGCGTGAGCTTACATAACCGTAAAAGTTTTGGGAGGATATTGAATTTAGACATAGGGATAGCGGTAACTCCTTGTTGTGCTATCAAAGGCTGCTTTAAAATCAAAAAAGTAGTGTGAGTGGATCCTCGCGCTGGTAAAAATCTGGTCAATGGTTGACTTACCAGCCCCAAAGAAACTCTGATTAGATACAAACAGTTCATTGACGGTTGGCTCTAGTTTTACTTAAAATGCTAGATAGATCCTTAAATGCGATATTATCGGAGGCTTATCCCACAGATTGCGTGCTCACCCCTTTTGTGGATTGGATCGCCCTTCGCCGGTTAGATTTCATTCGACCATATTTTGCAAAGGAATATGTACTCCACACAGACTATGGAGTAATGGAAAATATGGTCCAGCTAACATTGCGATATCCTATCCTAGGGCTGGATTTTATAAATATATAGAGAGTACATATATAAAACTAGTATTGCAAGCAAACTATAAATTACTTCATTGACTACTAGATACATACGAATGTCATTGGGACACAATTTATAAGGTTCAAATACTATTCGCTTTGGTCAAAAGATATAATTTGAATTAATATTTTCTTGCCAATAATGTAATATAACATAAATATATTTAAACTACTATATATATATTATACGAGGTGCGACAATAAAATAATGAGTCTGATTATATTCTCGCGATTGTGGTAACCTTGCGACTATAAAATTCCCTTTTCCTTCTCCCAGCTTCCTTCTTCTCTCTATTGATATATTTGCCATAGCTCCAGCTTATTTAGTTCGCTTGCTGTGTCCTGCTGAGTAAACGTGCGTCGTGGTGCTCGTCGTGCGCGGCGATAAAATTTTGCGCCAAACGCGCTCCTTGATCGAGTTATTTTTTCAATGCGGAAACCAAACGCCAAAGCTAACAACGGTTGACTCCGCAAACTCCCCGCCCGAAATTAGCTCGCATGAGCAAGTGGAATGTGAAAACGATAATTTTTGCCTTTTTTGATAGCTGTGGAATCGTCCTCAAAGAATGACTTCCACCGGCGCATACCGCAAATCAAGTCTACAATCGCCAAGTACTCAAAAGATGGCGAAAATCAGTCAACAAGGTATGCCCAGACATTGCTCGTAACTGGATCCTTCATCACGATAGCGTGGCGGTTGCTCCACCGCCCTCAGCGTGTCCCAGTATGTGGCCTTCACAGGGATCGCCATGTTGCAACAACCGCCTTATTCACCCGATATGTCACCCTGTGACTTTTTTCATCCAGGTGGTCGTGATGAGGCTACTCGCGGACATCCCAGTCAAAGCGGTGCAGAAATGATACGAAGTATGGAAATCGCGTTGAAATCGTTGTATAGCTGCCCAAGGGAACTACTTTGAAAGGAATTACAGAGTTGCAGAATAATTTTGATATATACGGTTTTAATGAAATCAGTCTCTTCACTTAATTGTCACACCCCATGTACCAGCAGATGTCACCAACGAAAGGAAACTGACTCTAATTCAGTTCATTTTTCTTACACGAGTAAGTCTTATTGTCCTCTTGCATCATCGTTTAGTAATTGACATCGTTAAAATACGAACTATCATCGGCTAACAACAGGTCGGTAGCAATACGCGAGTTGATCCAATAGTACACTACAGAGGAGTACCTATTGGATTACTCCAGTGGACCAAAATCGTTTGTAGGGTACTCAAGGTGTGAATTTATAGAAATTTGAGGTTGAGAAACAACTAACAATAGTATTGTGCAATTTCTTCACAAGTTAACAGTTGCCGTTAAAAATCAAAATGTTATTATTATAAATAAAATGACACACAACATCACTACAAAAAAGGCGCACATAACAAACGTATTTATCGAAAACTCAAAATCAAACTGCAATTAAATGAAATAGAGTTGAAAGCACAAAAAAGAGAAATAACAGCATTTTGCACCAAAGTTCAATAGAGACTAGTTGTGTACATATGTATATGTATAACTACATTTCATTCGAACGATTTTATTTGAACTCTTCTACAAAACAAACTTGTAAGGTTTATAAATATATAAATACATACGTATATGTATGGATAATGTAAAACTATTTCTAGAAAAATCAAGAAGCAACATAAAACATCCTTTCTAAAATGATTTTAGTCCATGCATAAGTAATTTTTTTAAGTGTAGATATGCATATAAGATCAACAAATAGATAGCTATTTATTAAATATTAATCTTTATTTATGTATGTAAAACAAAAGAAATCTTCCTTTTCCGCCTGAGGAAAACCTTGACTTTAGTTACGATCTTATAAGAGTTCTTTACAAATTCATTATACTAAAAAAAAAATGAATACCAAACCATCAGTAATCGCCTAAAGCAATGTAACACCAATATAATTGTATTTGTTCCATAAATACAGATTTAATAACATTTATATATTATTAAAAATATTATTATATATGTATGTATTTAGGCTAAATATCATTTTCAAATTTACAAAACACATATATATACATATGTATATGTATATCTAAATAATAAGCTCATAATATTAAGTCATTCCTATAAATAATTATACTAATATTAATAACTTATAATTACCTTTTTATCGCTTAAGTACCAAGATATAAGAAACAAAATCAATTTTTAGCCAACAAACATTTTCCCTAAATAGATCCCTATTTATTTATACTATAAAATATACATACACACACATACGAATCTTATTTATTGGGCCTTTAAATGTGCATTTCCATACTTTTTTCCTTAAATTAATATTTGAAATAAATTTGAATGAAAAGTATTTATGTGTTTCAACTTCTTATTTGGAATCTCGCATTGCGGTAAGTGCAAAAAAAAAATTATTAAAGTGTAATAAAAATTCCACTGAATAAGTTAATTCAAATAATTTGTATATATGTATCTGCGAGGGGTTTAACAAAATTCTGTTAGTTGGTGGCTTTCAATTTATTTTTGTTCAAACTAAAAATACGAAAACCCTTGCAACTACTACTGTGAGTGAAAAGTAAGTTGTTGTTTTGTTTGTAAAATTAAAAATCTTTATTTATTCTTCTACATCGATTTCGTCGCCTTCAAAATAGTCCCCTGCCGATGCAATGCACTTAAGCCAACGCTTTTTCAAATTATCGAATCAAGTCAAATACTCGCGTTCTGGTATGGCCTTCAGAGAGCGCGCCGATTATCGTGTAATCTCCTCAGTCGACTCAAAACGGTGTTCTCGAAGTGGTCTCTTGAGTTTTTGGAAAAACCAGAATTCACAAGGTGCTAAGTCTAGCGACTACGGTGGTTGGGGAACGATATTCGTAGAATTTTTAGCGAAATGGTCACGAAAAATGTGTGCTGTGTGCGACGGTGCATTCTCGTGATGCAAGAACCAAGAATTGTTGGCCCATGATTCTGGTCTTTTTCGCAAATTGCTTTATACAAACTTGTTTTTACAGATCCTTCTGATATTCCAACCAAGTCAGTAATCGCCACGTTTCCGACCTTCTATGAAGTCTTTATACCAATCATATACGTTCTTCAGCGATACAGTTGAGTCCCCATAGGCTTTCTGTAGCATCCTTAATGTTTCAGCAGCTTAAAATTCGTTTCGCTAACAAAATTTGATCGCTCTTTTTTGCTCAATTAAATCAGATATTATAAAAGTTGTCGAAAGCACTTTTAGTCGTTTATTAAAGATAAGCGTCACTAAAATACCAATGATGACATTGACATGGAATTTAGCATAGATGTCAATAACAGTACTACCAACCAAAAAAATAGCCCGAAATATTAAAGCTCAAATTCATCTTCCTTTTTGCTCACAGTATGTTTATATTCCAGCCGCAATATGGAAACTATCCATACTCTCGGGGGAGTTGGCATTAAGGGGTTACATAGGTTTTGAATAAAAGTCCAAAGCGTCAGGAATATATTCCCCAAGTTTCAAGTCGATCACCGTCTTTGTCATGGCTTGACCGAGGGCGAAACTTTAATCGTGTTTTTTTTAACCACTTTATCGAAATCGGTAGTTATTATTTCTCAACGAATATTTAAGCCATCGAGCTGAAATTTTAAACACTTCTTTTATGTATGTCTTTGTAGTCCCTGAACGAAGGATTTATTTTATCTTTAATTTCATGCAAAAAATTACGTTTTTTGTGAAAAATCGCAACAAAAAATTTATTTTGTAATTTTTTTAATTTTTCTTTGTTCGGACACAAAGAAAATTAACTTACTTTAAGAATAAATTTGGAATTTTGATTTCAGAAAAAATTTGAAAAAGTTATGAAGACTACCGCGAAAGTACTTTCCTGTAGACGATGTACTTCACGACACTGTCAATGCCTTAACTTATACTATTTTTCATTCAAATTTTCATCAAATGTTGTCCACATATTGTACTTGTATATGTAAACAAAACAAATTTTATATTTTACTTAATAACTTTTAAAAATATTAGAGAAAATAATCCCTTTGAAAATGCTTGCATATGTACGTAAATATCACAGCATAATACAAAATTGATAACAGAAATTATTTTGTGGGAAAACTTGATACGTTTCGAAACGAAAACTATAAAAGTAAAAAAATATGTGCGTAAAAATGATGTTAATCATATTTATACCGAGCTACGTATGTATGTATGTACATTTAATTTATCCATCTATATAAATTGAAATGATATTTTCGCAAAGTTCTTTAAAAATATATCTCTTTACTTCCTAGTGATAAGCCACACTGAATAAACCGGTAATCAGAAAAAAACATTCACAAGTGAATAAATAAACAAAAAAAAATATGTAATTAAATGAACAGCTGTTTTCCTCATATTTTCCAGTTAACGCAACACAATCACTTGTAGAGTCAATTTTCTTTATTCATACCCAGCTGGGAAGTGAGTTACTCTGCTGTCCAAATGTCCGAAACTAGTCCAAACCGTACGCAAATAAACGAAGAAAAACGCTTGTATTGCAGCTTCTGCTTAAAGCGGAAAAACAAATTCAACGAAAATCGTCGAACGTCTATTCATGTTCCAGTCGAATTTGCTGTAGCGGCAAAGTAACGCCAGACGCTATACGCACTAGCAGTAAGTACGCCTAACATATGTACATTTGTACAAACATACATACATAAATATGACGCTTAATTTTGATTAGCTGCGCAGCGCACAACTATAGGCGAAACCGGCATTGCCAAGCGTTGTAATCTAAAACGCTTCAGTTGAGTGGAAGTGCCGCGCAGTGCCTGTTGGAATAATCCAACAACGGAGTACGATTCAAAATTGCTTGCAAATTATAAAGCACGATAAAAATATATAAGAATTATACAAAAAAAAAAAAAAATAACGAGAAAATTTTTTCTCCATAATATCAAATTGGTGTAATTTCGCACGATTTCTATAATCCAGCCAAAGCAGCGGGCGCTCATCTCTACGAAAAAAAAAAAAAAAAAAAAAAATTATTGAATAAAGCTCATTAATACAAATTACGTTGTCGTGATCGAAAGTGCATTAAAATAACAAATAATATCAATAACAATTCCAATGCAGTTAAAAAGGCAATAAACAATATATTTTTGATATACATATGTACATTTGTATCCACATACGCAAAATAAAAAAAAAATATTGCCGAAAAAAAATTATAAAAACTTTTGAATATACGAAATTTTAAATAATTACTGTTATCACGAGAAGAAAAAATAATAATTAACGAAATATACATAAAAATGCCAACGACTTGTCAATTTGAATTTTCGCGTGCTACACCCATTTACTACAGTGGCGAGCAAATAAGTGGCAGTATAATATTGCGTACAACAAAACGGCTCTCCGTCGAAGGTAAGTATGTAAACATGCGTGTAGCATTGATCACACAAATATATTTATCAAGCAGGATCAGCCTTAAAATTCCCGCAAATGCAAAAGAGGGAAACCTTAAATGGGTGATTGCTTCAAAAATCAAACCAGAAATATCAGAACCTGCTATTGCAAGCTAAAAATAAAGAGTTGATCGCACTAAAGATAAAATAAGTATAATAATAATAAACACGACAATAAAATCTTTTATCTCTTGTGAATATTGCGAATTTTTTTTATTTGACGGATTCTCAAACTGCTTTTTACCGTAATTATTAACCTATTTAAATAAGCATGGACGAGCAGCTAGATACTCTTTCGTGCTCAACAGGAAAGAAATATGCGAGCTTTCAAGAAAAATTTCTGGAATACGTACATACATATGTACCATACAAAAATAAAAGCCACACTAATTTCCAAAACCATATTTGTGCAACGATTTATCTTTGCCCATGAAATTGGCCACAGTTTTAGCAAAAATCTATCTATTCGTGAACAGCCAGTAGTCCCTGGTGCACTGGACTTATGACGCGGTGCGTGGTCTTGTTGAAACCCCTTTTTTTGTTTGTCATATGCGAACGTACCAAACGTTCCAACAATGTTAACTTAATATTCACTGTTGATGGTATGTTCTTTCTCAAGATAATCGATGGGTATTACGCAACACATATCGCACTTCGATTCATTACATCAAAGTTGATCAGAAAATAGTGAGCACTGCAAAAATTCAAGCAAGAAAGAAAGGAAGGGAGAAAGTCAAGAAGCTATTTGGAAGCTCACTCATATTCTTATTTTAGCCTTTACCAAAAAATGTGCCTAAAAATGGTCTGGTTATTGAGTTTTTCATTGGCATTAGTATGTAATTTCTGAAGAGACCCGATTTGAAGGCGAAATAGTACAGGTTGCGCCATTTAGACCTTCGTTATTTCGATATTGAGGTATTAAGGATATACTCTGCCATTTATTTCCAATCAGTTTACGAATGCAACGTCGACTAAATAATCATCTTCATTCGCCAGCACTTCAGGCATTATAGCAGCTATTTCTGCTCGTTTGTTGTTTAGTTCGTCGATTGTCTTTGGATTGCTGGCATAAAATTTTAGTTTTTAAATAGACCCAATGAAAAAAAATAACTACAGTTAAATCTGGAGAACGAGGCGGCAACTCTACATCACCTCTACACAAAGTGTGCCGGGATGTTGCACTGCAAAAAGTGGCAAGATGCACCTTGAAAATAAAAGTTCGTCAGACATTTTTCACGCATTTGTGGACACACAAAGTGCGCCAACATCCAATGATAGTATGCGCCAACTTTTTGAAAAAAAAAAAAAAATAGTCCGATGATGGTTTTTGGGCACACTCCGGCCCAACAGTGACTTTTTGATATTGCAGTGGTGTTTCGTGAATGACGTGTTGCTAAACCGAGAGAGTTATTCAATGTTGAAATACTGAAGGTCTAGGTAGCGTACCCTGTGTAATTATTTTGTTGCTTATTGATCGGTTCTCGGTAACTTTCTGAGAAAATGTACATGATAATAATTACAATTATATTAAATTATTAATTATAAAAATCTGATTTCACTTTGCTTCCAACGTACAATAAGTCACATCCGACTATCTTCTAACTAAGTAAGCTGAGTTAGATAAACCCGATAAACTGTTTTTGTTGCTTTCCCAGAGTGGCACAGTCATTAGACATACTATCAGCTCTTGTGATAAGTATTAATGTATTATAAAGTGCGGGATTTAATGATAATGAGATTTGTTTGTAAGCGGATATATACATTTATATTTATATTTATATTTATATTTATATTTATATTTATATTTATATTTATATTTATATTTATATTTATATTTATATTTATATTTATATTTATTTTTATTTTTTTAATTTTAATTGTCCCTTCTATTTGATTAGCACCATCTGCCTGCAGCCGAATGTATACATATTTATGAAATGTAATTATCTTATTTATATATTCCTACTGTTTTCGACCACATAATTAACAATAAATTTCTGAGAAAACAGATATCGTGATTATCTGAAATTCTCTGTAATAAATACTCAATTAAATGACATTTAATGGCTTTTAATATAGGTATTGCTAAACAAGCAGCAAGTAACAATATTTACATGCTTATGTTTGTATGTAAACTATATCTCACATTTTTCGAAATTTAAAATTTGTCTAGAAAAACGGCTTACACAAAAAATATTTAATTTATTTTAAATAAATACTTAATTTATTTTAAATACTACTTTCGGCCATATCTTAATCCCGCCTATTGTTAAATGTACTGACTTTATGTAACAATTTATTACGTCTTACAAATTTATTTACACTTATTCTAATTAAAGTAAGTTATTCTGTCTCCAAGCGGCAGAATTACAGCAGACAAATAGAAAATATCTATGTTGGTGCAATAAAGCTAATGAATTTGTTCGTTGTGCAATTAAATTGTAAAATGCAATATTTATAACTTACGGTTATTGCCCTGTTATCTTTTTCTGACTTAGTGAAATTGTTTTTATTAAAAACGAATGACTTAATTAAATAAACCGTGTTTCCACCCTGCGGGTTTGGGGTTAAAGAATTTACCCGCAAACATGCCTTAGTCTGTCGTAAGAAGCGACTGAAATCCAATGATTCCCGCGACAGTCGGATCTTTATGCCAGAACGACCCGGATTTTTTATCTGACCAAGGGCTGTCACTCCCGCAACATTCAACAAAAATTACTTTGAAGAAAATTTATTCAGTTGCAACAACAACATAAAGCTAGTGCAAAGACTGAACCAGAACGATTCAAGCGCGTCGTACGTGCAGTAAATGTATTTAAATCGAGAGGGCCATCGATCCCAATTTTGCAAGAAAATTTTGTTTAGCATACATCCGCCGTTGATCCATATCTCTCCAAAAAAGAAGCAGGTCATAATGTTACTGCCAAAGTAGAATGCCATACAGCCATGATTAATGACTTTTTTGTTTATGAATTGGATGATGTTGGTGTGAAAGATCTTTGGTTCTAACAAAAAAGAAGCTACATACCACACAGCCAAAGAAATTAATAATTTATTGAAAGAAACTATTTGTGAGCGTATTTTTTCGCAACGTGAGTCTCCAATATCGTATGATTTACCAATACTGAAATATTTTTTGTCAAGTTATGTGAAATCATTTGCGTGCGCAGATAAATCGAGATAATTGACGCCTTGAAAGAGAATAGTCGAGGCTTTATTATTGACATACGGCCCCAAGTGCTAAAATAATTGAATTTTTGACTTAAGTCAACCGCGCTTGTCACTTGCTCGAAATCAGCTTTATTATGTAATCTTTATAGTGAAGCTAAATTCCCGGCCATGACAATAAATTTATGTATTAATATTATATATATTTTTTGTTGAAAACCACATTTCCAAAAAATACAAAAATTAGCTCCCATTCAACAGATTTGTTCACAAAAAGTTAAATTTTCTGTTTATTTCTTATTTTTGTCTTGCCTCTCTATGGATGAGATTGATCAAACAAAAATTTTAAATTGAAGATAATATTGATAGTAACAAAGTTTCACGGCACTATACATCTGAGGGTTCTCAAGTTTGAGGGATTAAACTAAGCCTCATTTACTCGTAGAAAGTTTCAAAACAAACTTGCTTTTTTTAATGCTTAACCTCCTTATCACAAAGGAAAAAAGCAAAACAAATTTACATTGCAATTATGAAATATATAGACGATATGATAAGATAAGCGATTATTACTCCTGCTAACATTTATTTTAAGGACGAGCCGAAATAATTAATATTCAAAAGCGGCTGCAGATTCTACAAATTGTTAAAGCCGATAAATAAAAGCAGATTAAGAAAATTACGTTTTACGTACATTCATATACCGACATACAAACAATAAACAACAAAGTGTGAGTTTAATGATAACAATTAAGTGCGATAAAACGTCAATTCAACTGTTTGCAAGTCCATTCGTTATATTTGTATCTCTTGTGTTTACACTCTCTATTTTATATATACTCCTTTTAGATATTTTCGTGTACATATTTATCTATATCAATATTATATTATATATTTTAAGCAATACAAATCTTCTTAGTTGGCACTGAGCGCGTCGAGTGGCTGGAGAGAAATAGAGAAGCAATACTTTTGCATAATGATAGTACTGAACAGGATAACAAATTGCTCTTTAGCGACAAAAGGGAGCTCTTTTGTGAGTCATATACGCTAGCAAAGCATACTTGCTTGCAGGCTGGTGAAATTTTCGCGGAAAAGTTTTCCTTTACCTTACCACATGAAGCTCCAGCAAGTTATAATACGAAATATGGAGAGATATTTTACTGCGTTCGTTTGATACTGCAGCGCACATCAATTTTCAACAAAGTGTTCGAAACACGCTGTATTATCAAAAATCGCATAGATTTATGTGCATCGGTCGAGTTGAGTGAGGTAGGTGAATAAATAAAAATATATATTTTCTATTATTAAAAAAATAATAATATCTTCATCACAGCCACAAACAATAAAAGTAGCAAATACGAAGTCTTCCGATGTTCAAGAAACATCCCTCCTCTTCACCGTATGTTCAGGCACTGGCTATGTGCCCGGCCAGAATATAATCTACACCATAAGTGGTCGGCACAGATTTTCAGCATGCAATAGATTACGTGTAAATCTATGTCAGTTAAGCACTTTTCGTGCTACTAAGTCACAAATGAAAGTAAGAGAATCTCTAATAATATTGAATAGAGATACACGGAAAATAAGTTCATCATACGTCATGGCTTGCGGTCAACTAAATATTCCGCTGCTCACACATATCTCCCTGCCGGCCAATGAAAATAATCTAATCAAAATTTGTCATTACCTTGAAGCTATGCTTACTTATAAAAAGCGTATATTACAAAAATTCATTATACCCATTACAGTTGGTACAATACCACCGAAAAGAGTGAAACTCAGTGAGTTAGAGCAGTACATGGAAGGCGCGCAACAAAATCACTGTTACGACAATTTAGGTGAGTAAAACCAAACTAAAATATTAATTTAATTATAAAAGTTGTCGAAAGCACTTTTAGTCGTTTATTAAAGATAAGCGTCACTAAAATACCAATGATGACATTGACATGGAATTTAGCATAGATGTCAATAACAGTACTACCAACCAAAAAAATAGCCCGAAATATTAAAGCTCAAATTCATCTTCCTTTTTGCTCACAGTATGTTTATATTCCAGCCGCAATATGGAAACTATCCATACTCTCGGGGGAGTTGGCATTAAGGGGTTACATAGGTTTTGAATAAAAGTCCAAAGCGTCAGGAATATATTCCCCAAGTTTCAAGTCGATCACCGTCTTTGTCATGGCTTGACCGAGGGCGAAACTTTAATCGTGTTTTTTTTAACCACTTTATCGAAATCGGTAGTTATTATTTCTCAACGAATATTTAAGCCATCGAGCTGAAATTTTAAACACTTCTTTTATGTATGTCTTTGTAGTCCCTGAACGAAGGATTTATTTTATCTTTAATTTCATGCAAAAAATTACGTTTTTTGTGAAAAATCGCAACAAAAAATTTATTTTGTAATTTTTTTAATTTTTCTTTGTTCGGACACAAAGAAAATTAACTTACTTTAAGAATAAATTTGGAATTTTGATTTCAGAAAAAATTTGAAAAAGTTATGAAGACTACCGCGAAAGTACTTTCCTGTAGACGATGTACTTCACGACACTGTCAATGCCTTNAAATAAAATAAAATAAAATAAAATAAAATAAAATAAAATAAAATAAAATAAAATAAAATAAAATAAAATAAAATAAAATAAAATAAAATAAAATAAAATAAAATAAAATAAAATAAAATAAAATAAAATAAAATAAAATAAAATAAAATAAAATAAAATAAAATAAAATAAAATAAAATAAAATAAAATAAAATAAAATAAAATAAAATAAAATAAAATAAAATAAAATAAAATAAAATAAAATAAAATAAAATAAAATAAAATAAAATAAAATAAAATAAAATAAAATAAAATAAAATAAAATAAAAAAAAATAAAATAAAATAAAATGAAATGAAATGAAATAAAATAAAATAAAATAAAATAAAATAAAAGTAATATTAAATAATATAAGATAACATAATTTAAAAAGAATATAGCAAAACAAAAAATATGGAAAAATTAAATAAAAAAATATAAAAAATTGAACGAATTTATTTATAGTTAATTAATTGTTACTCCAAGACATATAACAAAAGTCTTGCTTTTATTTCTCGTCTTATAGCTACAGATGCAGTTGGTGACCGATTGCAGCAAAATATTTATGTAAAAGATTATTCTACTTTGGCATTGGACAATATACCATCTGATTTGATTTTAAAAGCTATACCATCATCAGGCAATCTGTTGAAAACCAATCTTATTTCAAATAATTGTCAAACGAGGCTTTGCAGTGCAGATATTTGCAATCACAACTAACAGGCGTATCTAGAGAACAAATATCTTTATGATAGTATTATTAACTATTAAGTAATCATAATATAGAGCAAGTATTATTTGATAATAATTATATAAGTCAATATACATTAAGACCTGAAAGTTTTCGTATATCTCTTGATTTTATAATGAAATTGAATTTTTTATTAAATTTATTTATTATATTATATTATTTATTAAGAAATTCTTTAGAATTTAAATAAAAAACTTTTCATGATATAGAAAGGGCTTTTGCATTCTTTAGTACGTACCGATATTTGCAAACAGTCAGTCACAATATGCGTAAAAAATATATGTATAAAAATACATATTTATAAATTTTTATTATTGCTTCAGATTTTACATAATCTTTAACTGATGCTTATTAATTTAAACACTTTAAAGAGTTGTGCCTTAATTCCAAGGCGGAAAAATACCATGCACTGAATTCACCAAACAAGTTAAAGACAAAGCGAAATTTTTAGGCTAATAAAATTATAAGAGCTATTAGCATAATTAGCGTGCTTAATTGTCCTACAACTATTAACCACCACCTTCACTTACACTACTAAAACAGAATAAATAAGTGTAAATGAAATAATTGAAATCATTAACAAACCACATTTATTCAAGTAAAATTTACAGTCAAGCAGAAAAGCCACAACGGGGTTTCTTTACTGCACTAGAAGGGGAAACTGCCTGTAAGCTGTGACATCATGTTGCGCCTAAAAGTAGGACAGAAGCTGCGGCAAACGCTTTGTGATAACGCAAGACCGAATAGAATGCCACAAATGTGAATATAAACATATATTTCTATGTATAAAACTATGTATACTAAAACGGTAAGTCCCGAAATATTTTTAATAATAAAAAAAAATTTCTTTACATCACAAATGCATGGGAATTAAGCCACAAAACTCGCAAATGATTGATTTGTTTTACACCAACACAATTTCAATGATATAACCAAAAGCTGAAAAAAAAATTTGTTTTATATAATAAACAAATTTTTAATATTTTTATGTAAATTTTAAAGTCACTAAGCTGAAGAGAAATCGTTTATTCTCTATCAATGTTAATTTATTTTCCGCAGTGTGAGTACATAATCGAGTGAGAATCGCCTCAGCGCACAAATTTATGTATCTAAAGCAAAGCTTGAAGTTTAAGGTAAAATTTCGGGATCCCGAAATCGTACGACTAGCAAAATCGTATGAATTACAGTCATAGAAACTTTTTAATGAAAAATGAAATTAAAAGACTTTTTTATTAGATAATACAACACAATAAAAATGACGGAAAATGCCTTTGAACGTATTAAAAAAATGAATATAAATATACATAAGTGCATGTACAACACATCATTATTCAGCAGTTGCAATAACAATTTCCTACCAATGATTATGAATGGTAGTCAGCAGGAACGGCATTGAACGCATTAAAATCGCCAGACTAAATGCGTCTATGAAGAGAGCTGTAAAGTGCTGTCGCCCGACTGCCATTAACTAGTAGTACGAGTATGTATGTATTCGCTAGACAAAGAACAGTTGCCTTGACAGCGCGAAACACACACACTCACACAGATACATATGTATTTGAACAGCAGTAGCAAAGAGATTTCCGTTTGGCTTTTAACACTAAAAAGATCTCGGATTCGATTTCAAATTTTTTACGCGATATGAAGATGTTGTGCTAATACTACTTGTTGTTATGGACATTACTATATACTTAGCCACGTTATCCTCACGTAAATATGTCTTACTATATTTTTATGTTGTAGGTGTTTTTGTAGTTGTTTTTCTCGTTTTTTTTTTTTTGCGGGCCAATTCAAAGGCACTCTGGCGCCAACTTATTGATTCACTATTGGCCAACATGGAGTCTGTAAACAAGTAGACACAATGCGTGTCGCAGATATTATATAATATCCCAGCAGTGAAATGAGTAAGTTACTTGACTATCACATTAAAAACTAGTCAACCGATTGTTTTCATTTCGTGCCAGCAATTGATATTTTCTACAAGCAAAGATCCTAAGACATTACAGCTGTTTGTATCAAAAATATTCTAGTTTACAAAAAAAGTTACAAGTTCAGCTCCGATATATACCAGATAGCAATTATGCAATAATACCCTAATAATGCCGAAATACAACTAACTAGTTGGGAATTAATTCTAAAGTAATATGTCAACTATCTGCGTTCGAATCAGGCGACTGACAATATATTGAAATTGCCAGATATTTATCTAATCAATTCTAGTCTTATACTAGTGTAAAATAGATAAAAAAGCGACTAGTTTAGTTTCGACCTAAGTGTGGTTTGATTGTTCTGGATAAAATGAAAAATATTTCTTTTTTTATATTATATAACTTTCAGTTATAATATTATATTTTCATTTAAATAATTTAAATGAAATATTTAAATTCATTTAAAACAAATAGTTTCATATTTGGTACCAATTTTGTGATCTCCTGACCAGTGCGATTTCAGTCATGAAATTCGGGTATTAAACTAAAACCTACTCTGACCAGTTTGATATTCCACTGTACAGACTAACCAGCATGTACATATATTAATATTTATATTTGTATGTATGTACAAAAGTAGTTAGTTGGTAAAATCTCAATAAAGCACAGTATTTTAGTCTTACTGTAGTGGTTTAGCATAGACGTTGGTCGGCTGAAGGAATAACAAAACGGTTGTTGTGCTGTCATCGTTTTTGTCATCTCTTCTAAGCGGTGTAATACTTGGCACCACGAAAGTTTACAAAATTTCACTCAAGTATGAAATTTTTTTGAATTTCGTACCTAAATTTGGTGAAAGTGAAGTGAAATTTCATATATTCGAAAAAAAAACTGTGGTGTTTGGAAAACATGCCTACAATGTGTTCTTTCCAACTGGACCGCATGGATGCGGTCTACAATAGTGGCGAATACATACACGGGCGTATTGTATTGAAAACAGAAAAATTGAAACGCGTAAATGGTAATTAAATAAAAATTATATAAAAGTAGTGAAAAGTTAACGAATGTAGAGTAATTTCAAATAAATTATTTATAGATAATTTTAAAAACAAAAATAGTCTCTTTAACATAGTAAACAAGAGCAAAGGTGAAGAGGGTAAACGTTACAATCGCTTTACGTATTACTGTGAGTCAAAGTAGTGAAGAAGGCCTAAGAATATAATAAAAAAATATACATACATGTCAAATTAAATATGTATGCAAAGAAATTTATTAATTAATTATTTTATTATTAATTAACTATGAGTAATATTTTCTGCCATAATTACTTTATGTCAATAAAGTCGCTACGTGTGTTTGAAAAAAAAAAAAAATTCAACGAGCTGAAATATAATAATAAATCTGTGTTTACTAAAAATATGCAAAGCAATTTTTTTTCATCAATATTACCTATGTATATATGCACATATGTATGTACATTTTACTTGCTATAATTGCATTGAGTTTTATTCCAAATTGAAGTGGTCAACGAAAAACGAATAAAGAAGGCTTATGACACTTTGAAGAGGAAACTTACCAGATCTTTAGACCGAATACAATCTCTGTGTGCGGCTGTTATAAGAAGAGTTTTATTCTTTGTATCCTCGGTTTGTTGACTGAAATTAATACTAGACTATGGAATTCAGTGAGTGGTCCATGTATTGGTTTTGGGAGCAGCAAGCTACCCAATAAAAGTAGGGTAGTTATAACAAAATGATTTGGATATAACAATACTCTTCATAGCAATATGGCTCTCAACAATTAGACAATTCAGGCTATTTATATCCAACCTAAGATAGCTCTCCAGTCCAGATGGTTATCATCTATTGAATGTATAAAAGCTGCTTTAAGGAATGTATGATATCATACAAATTTACGTTAACGCGTCAAAAATTTACTGCATACTAAGCTGCTCTGAGGATTTGAACACCCCACTATTTGTGGAATTACTTGGAGAAAATCTATAGAGCTGTAATGAATAGCTACAGCAGGAGAAATGCAATCAGATAATCAGGTAGAATTTTTGGTCTTATCAACGCCAATGGTAAATTACAAAGTCGTCACAAAAGAATTGTAATTTGAAGGTTTCCAGTCCTTGAGATGTCATTTTGACACCCCCATAACCTTGAGTTTCTACGTCAAATTGTGAGCATCTATTGACGAATCTTAAGCGTAATTACAAAGCACTAGGTGAGAGCTTTAATTTTAATTTGAACAAATCGCTTTGAATATTGAGTCAGAGGTCAAAAACCTTTGGAGGAGCCTTCATTTCAACTGCCTTTCTTGATACACGTGCCCAACGTATTGATTCGGTTCAGGGGTTTCCTTATGTATAAACATTAGGGCTTTATTCTGAATGACTGACGGATTAACCCACATCATCTTTCGTTTATTAGAAAAAATTTATGGTTTTTAAAAGTTCTTTAAGCAATCGCACCTTTGTAAAACGTTTATGCATTTTCTCTATAAACTAACTCCTTAAGTCCTGCGTATTAACCTTTTTCGTGCTCTCTCTTCGAATGAATGTGTCCTGCACTCATCTCGCGCTCAGGATTGTGAAATGAACCATCCTCTAATGCAACGTAATGTCACGTGATAACTTCGTCTAGACAAAAACCTACCCCCCCTTCCTGCTTTCAGCCGGGAACTATAGTTTTATTTCTGTTGGCTATCACAGACGGTTTAAGGGTTCTGTGCATTACTAGGCTGTAAGCAAAGGTCGAATTCTCAGAGGTTGAGCTTCTACACCACTAAAGTCATATGTTGATAGAGAACGAAACCAAATATAAGAAGTTTTTTCGACAACGGATTGAAATTAATTTTATTAACCAAAACAAAAACCTCATTTAACCGCTGAAGAGATCTTTGACCGAACTCCGTCTACCAACGAATGGAAGAACCTATAGTTTATTCACCGAAAGAGCGATGGATTTTTATGACGCCAGACTGATTTGACATTCCCGCTGAAAGAGCACCCGCAATTAGAAAATAAATTCTCTATATTTTTGGATGTTGGCCGGGCAAGGATTTGATCCGTGGGAATCCGAATATTATCACGCACTGCCAACTACTCGGCTACTGCTATTTTTTACCACAAATACAAATATAATTTTTATACAAAACTTTTACCATTCACTTCATTTTTAGCCGTGTTTGTAACGCTCGAAGGTGAGGCACGTGTCCAATGGTCACTCAGCGGCAAAACCGACTCGGCTAACTACTGTGGTCATCAGCAATACTTGTATACGCGCACCAATGTCTTCGATAGTCCCGAGTTTCGAGCGGGTACACACGTTTATGTCTTAAGACTACGCATACCGTCCGGTTGTCCGTCCTCCTGCAAAGGCCCGTATGGTTTTATAGCTTATAACATCTCGTTGACTATTGCCAAGCCATGGACGTTCGATGAAATATTTCGCAAACCCATAACTGTGGTACAAGCATTAAACTTGAATCACAATCCGGAGTATGGGGTGAGTTGCAGGCATTTAATGTAACACCATCAAATTTCATAAATATTCTTTCTCTTGTTCAATAGCTGCCAATACGTGATGAAAATGTGAAATATCTCTGCAATTGGCCATGCACCTCTGGACCCATCATGTACACATTGCTACTGCCTTACAATGGTTTCGTCGCACGTCAACAGATAACCTTTTTCCTCGAAGTGGACAACCAATCGCCGCACTATGACATCTCCAGCGTTGAGGCTTCACTCAAACAACATTTCATATTCCTTGCACGCCAGCCTTATAAACGTAACTTCTATACAAAAACTTTAGCGAAAAGTATTATTACGGAACGTACTCTACGACTAACGAAGCGCATGTATCAGGGTACAGTATGTGTACCCTCCGATACACCACGATCAACGCTAAATCCTAACTATATTGTTTTTGTACATTATACGCTGCAGGTAAAGTTGAAAACCGGTTATTTTCACTATGATACAGATCTGTCAGTACCGGTGGTAATTGGTACAATACCGTTACAACAACATGGCGTTCAAATGGTGACCACAACACAGCCGCGACGGATCAGTACACGTGATATATCCAACATAGAAGAGGAAGATGGCGATGTAGCGGGTGAACAGTGGAGTGTGCAGGCGGAAATTAATCAGACGGAAGAGGATGGTGAGGATGACGACGACGACGACGACGATGACGTGATCCAGCAAACAACGAGTAGTCAAGTGAGGGCACAAAGAACACGTGCGCAAGACATAAGCAATAACAATGAGGATGATGAGCCCCCTTCCTATGACAGTTGTTGTAAGTTAAAGCATTTAGTGAAATGTTGGGAGCACTAGATAACCGTATTTTCTACTTTTAGAATAAGCGAAAAAAATATTTGATAGAAATTATAAAAATATTTTTTCTCTAAATTGTCGAAAGCGCCACGTAAGCGGATTTAGCCAAATCAAAGATATCACAAGTACTTTCTCCTACTTGCGAATCAGTGACAATTAGGAACACTAAAGAAGTTTAGTAAAGATAAAGACCGAAATTGAGCGATTTAAGTAAACAAGTTCCTAAAAAAACAGATTTGAAAAAACCAATTTAAAAAAAAATTGGAAATAAACAAAAAATTTGTTTGGAAAATTTTTTTTTTTGAAATTCTTCAAATTTCCGACTTTTCCTATGAAAAAGTACAAAGTTTGTTTTATTTCTGAACCTTCCCAGATGCACAATAAAGAACCTCTAAAAAATTCGTCATGATTGGTCTAGCCGCTCTCGAGCCTCAGCGTCACTAACAAACAAACATTCACTTATATTTATATATTAAGATGAGTACTTCGGATCGGATTTTACTGGTTTGGTTTAAACGAAAATATCTGTTTCGTACATACATACATAGATAAATGAACAAGAAAGTACATTTTTAGAAAATTGATTTTGATTTTGATTATATTTTTTTTAGATAATTCAGTTTTTCTTGCATATTTTATTTATTGAAAGCATTTATTAATTATTATTAATATGATTTCTTTCAGTGCCCCCCTCCTTCAGTTTCGCCACACTCAGCAGTCAACAAACACTGGACAGCGTGGGTCAATCGTCAGATACCAAAATGCGTGCAAATCAACAACAACGTACGATCAAATTACCTAAATTTCCTGGCTATGATATCATTGCTGCCTCAACGCAGGCCATTAATACGTCAGCAGATTCAGCGTTGAGCTTGAACTATTACCGTTCCTACGGTTCGCTTGGTACAGGGCAAACTGGACGCAGTTTGGATACATTCGCCTCGAGTTGTGGTGTACTCAGTGAAACGGATGAACAGGTGCATGAAGCGAACGGCGATGATGATGATGACGACGATGATGAAGACATTTTTTAAAAACCAAAAAAAAAAAAATTATTGTAACAATGTTAAACTGATTTAAGTGCCAAATTAATTAACCAGAAAAGTGCCAAAGACTACAATGAAGCAACTTGCCACTCGCCATATGCCAATACCTCATTTTGTAGTTTGTAAATTATTAAAGTGCTTGTAGTAGTATTATATTAAAAAAAAAAAAAATATTTCCACTTGACGCTTTAGAATTAGTGTACAAAACGTTATACGATTAAATAATTTGGTTGTAGAAGCTTTGACTTTATTTACGATAATATACACGTACATATGTATAAAAATACCAAAGGAGAAGATATATTCATTTATGATTTGCTCTAAAAATGTTACTGGTAAACTTTTCTCTCGTAAAAGCCAAGTGTTTAATTTCTGATCGTTTAATCATTTGCTAGACATCGTCGTTTTGTCTAGTTAAGTGATTTTCGAACACACTGCGCAAAGGATCAATTCGTACGTTAGCTGTGCGGCACGCAGCATCGTCCTGTTGAAAACCAAAATCGTGAAAAAGGGTTCTTCTCTTCAACATGGGGAAACAAAGGTTCTCTGTGCAGTGGCTTTCCCATAGCTACATGTGAGTTTTCTGACCCTCGACTTCCACAATTTTGGTTATTAACTTAGCGGCCGAGGTGAAAATGAGCTTCAACGGAAAAGATGATTTTCGGAGGAAAATTCTCATCTTCAACCAAATGATCTGGTGCCCAATTAGCGAGGTGGAATAACATCGTATAGTCAAGAGGGTTTAGTTCTTTGACCAAGGTCTTTATGCAAAATCCTGTGCAGAGGAAAGCGGGAAATGTTTCATTGTAGCGAACGGTGTCGAGTTGGTGTTAACGGCTGTTCCAGCATACTGCAGCACTATTTGCCTCCGAAAATATTGCTAACGAACCAGTTCGACGAAATTGCTGCAAAAATTCATCAGCGTACTGCTTGGAAGGTGATATATCTTACCGTTCTTGCGGTTGAAGATTCATTACTTAACTATGACGAGATTCGAATAGCGATTGCACGTTTAAAGAACAACAAAGCGGCTGGATCTTATGGCTTAGCGCAGAGCTATTCAAACATGGAGGTGATGATCTGAGAAGGTTACTTTGTAAAATATGATCTGACGAAAGCATGCCACACGATCGGATTCGGCTGTGCTCTGCACAACCCATAAAAAGTAGTCTTCCCGGTTTGCGCCAATAACCATGGGACTAACCTATTATGGAATGTTTTGTGTAAAAGACTAATCACCAACAAACTGATCGAACCTTATCAGGGTAGATCTAGTAAATCAACAATTGACCAGATATTCACCAAGCAACATAACGACTTAAAACCGGGTTTCGACAGCACAGTAAGAAACTGCCTTTACGCCTCTTTGTCTGAATTTGGTTTCCCACAGAACTTATACGGCTATATAAGCCAACTATCTAGGGATCGGCGTTAAGATTAATAATAACACTAGCGTTGAAATCCATTGTAGAATCACTCTTAATAACTGAAACTACTTTGGGCTGAGTAGACAATTGAAGAGTAAAATCCTCTCTCGATGAACCCAGATAAAACTCTATCAATCCTTCGTTATACCGTCCTGCTATAAGGTGTCATCTAAAAAAAAAAATGTTGCACATTTTTTATGGTCCTTCGCTGATTGGCGAACACCGCAGGCGATAAAATGGTGAGCTGTTCGAGTTATGGGGTGATATTGATATAGTTCAGCGAACGGATTTTTGTCTCAAGGTAATGTCGTCGGAATAGATGTATACACTCCAGCTTTGAGAGTATTCGATCCAGCACACGCTGGTGGATGCAGAAAAAGAGCTCTACTCCGTTGAAATGATCGGTTGCGGAGCTAGCTGGTTTCACTTAGTGTTTACAGCTGGTGGCAAACAGCGAAAAGAAGGGACAAATTGGGCGCCATTGTTGATTCGGTTGTAATCACGAAAAAGGTGTCAACCTCAAAAGGAAAAGAAGAATGCTGTGCAGATTACTTAGTGACAGGTAATTATGTAGCGTATTAAACATAAATTCAAAATGTTTGGGAAAAGTTTACTTTGATACCCAGAGGAAGAGCCTGGGCAGCTTTTGGGTGGCAACCAAGGCCCTCTTAGTCACCGAAAGACAATCAAACATATTGAATAAGGCAGCTCTGTTCGACAATACAGGAAACTTTTGGATCACTTTTAACACCGTTTTTGTCGTTTTTGGTAGAGACGCGGATCTCGCTTAACTTGTACGTATGCTTTTCAGTTTCAAATTTCCCCTAACAGTGAACCGAAGAAATATAATATCACTAGCACACACGTATACTCTTATTCACAGGCTTTTATTGTTAAAAGCTCACTGTTATTAACAGAAATATTGCAATACTAACGCGACACTGTTAGATAATTGCAATTATGCGTGACTTAGCCAAATATGTTTATGAAATATTATTAAATTCAGTTTTCGTAAAATCCAATAGTTGCAATATTAAATTTTTATGGCATGAGTTACTTTATGAAAACTAATTTGGTCTGTAAATTTTGATTTGCACTACGATGTTTGTATGTATTTATGTTCACAATAATCTATTTATCGTTATGCCGAAGTGTTTATGATAAGATAATGGAAATAAAACAAAATATCGAAATTATTTCAATAATTCAATTCACTGCCGAATAATATCAGTCAAATAGTGACACCGATGGAGAAAAGAACACGATTACAATTTTGCAAATAAAAAGAGAATATAAATAAAAAAAAATTTTCGCTTGAAAAAGTTAAGTTAAAATAAAAAAAATTATGGTTTTACATTGTAAAGTACATTTAGATAACCCAAAGAATATATATGAGCCAGGCGACAAATTAACCGGCCATGTGGAGCTGGTATTGGAAGTACGGCTGCTAATCAAAGGTATAGAGTGTTGTTTATATATTTTGATTAGCAATGAATCATCAAATAGAAAATACTCTAAATTTGTATATTTATGTGCATACATGTTACATATACGAGTATATACTGCAACAACATTTTTTCAAATTTCTAGCGGTTGCTATAAAATACACAGGATATGCGGAGGTCCAATGGGAAACACTGTTGCCGGTGAAGAATATAAAGAAATCATTGAAGAGTAAAAAACAAGCCGATAGACCGGAGCAAGTAGGTCAGGCTGAGGCACCGCCAGAGACGCGTATAGAGGTTTATAATAATCGCGAAGAGTTTTTATCCAATATCAATTACTTTGTTGGCTCAGACGAAGGTAAGCATTTAGTGTAGAAACTCTCACTGCGGAGGCGAAAGAGGTCGCCGTTCACTTCCGAATCTAAGAGCAATTGCGTTTAAAAGTTCGCGTCATTTTCTTCTAATTATAATTCTAATGACTTTTTGTTAAGAGGAGGATATTCTTAATATAGTTGTTCTTCAGTCCTAAGTATCCCGTTTTTGGTACTTGGGAGGTAAAACAAAAAAATAGACCAATTTGTATGAGACCTAGAATAGAAAAGCAAAGGGTTTTATGAACTATGGCCTTTGGAAGTACGAACGGATTTTTTTTAATTCGACGACAGGGGTTATGCTCGATTATTCTAATGAAAGGATGCTTACAGAAGTTTTCAAGACCAGAGCAGACTCCTGTAGGATACAAAGAGGTGATCTGGCCACCGACGAATAGGGTATATTGAACCTATGAAGAGAACACTTCTCCAGCTTTCTGCATGGCAGTGAAAATGAAACACCCGGAGATGGTGAACACGAAATCCCAATCTGGGACGATGAAAAATATGTTCCATTGCCCGACTATAAAAACTTATACGGCTATGTAAGCTGACGTTAAGCAGCACTAACAGCTACGTCCGGGTGGGGAAGGTCCTCTGCAAATCGTTCGATAGCAAACGAGGTTTCGGACAGGGTGATTCCTTATCGTGTGACTTTTTTAGCTCATTGCTGGAGAAAATAATACGACCTGTAGACCTGAATAGTGAAGGTACAATCTTCTATAAGAGATATCGACATTATTGGCCTGGTTTGATAAAGAAGCGAAGCGAATGGGTCTGGTAGTGAACGAGGAAAAAACGAAATATCCCCTGCCAACAAACAAACAATCATCGCATTCGCGACTTGGCTCCCACGTCACTGCTGACAATCATAAATTTGAAGTCGTCTTTCTAGGAACCAGCATCAACACCAACAATAATGTCAGCCTTGAAATCCAACGCAGAATCACTCCTGCCAACAGGTGCTACTTTGGACTGAGTCGGCAATTGAAAAGTGAAGTCCTGTCTCTGCGAACGAAAGATAAACTCTGCAAGTCACTCATCACACCGATTCTACTAAATGGCGCAGAGGCGTGGACGATGACAATATCAGATGAATCGGCGTTTGGAGTCTTCGAGAGAAAGGTTTTGCGTAAGATTTATGTGGGAAGGGCAAATAGCGCAGTCGACATTCTCATAGTTCATCGAATCAGAAATCTGGGGCTGTGCTTGCTAGGTCATGTGATTGGGACGTATAAGAATATTCCAGAAAGAGGAAGACCTCCAGTCCGTTGGAAAGATCTGGCTACACTTGATATCTCCAATTGACGTAAAACGATGCCGCAATGTTAAAAATTCGGCTAAAATCGCCCAAGCGGTGTTTACGCTAGTAAAGTGGGTAAGTAAATGGCATCTATTATCTTTTACTAGCGACATTTTTACTTAATGGATATTCCTATATCTTCGATGTTTTCAATTTATGAATATAAAAGTGCAATCTGGCAGAGCTTATGTTGGCCACAAGTTCTGTTTCCTTTCAAACCCTTTAGATTTGTATATGAATGGTGAGCTTTTTCTGCTATACATTTTAGTTCACATATATATAATCAATAGATATAAACATTTTATTAAAAATATTTCGTGTGCTTTCAGCCAGCGCCAGAATTATGGAGCGCGCCACATACACTTACCCATTCACCGTTTCACTGCCGCAGAGTTGTCCATCCTCCTTCGAAAGCGTCAACGGCCACATACGTTATATGATTGAAGTATTTGTTGAACACAAGAACAAAAAGGAGGTGTGGTATTCACAACAATTACACGTACTCAAGCCACTCGACCTGCGTCGGTGTGCGCAAGTGGCGAGTCAACCCTGTGAAGTGCATGTACAAGAAAACTTGGGTTTGCGCTTATTTAAGGAGCCACTGAAAATGTCTGTGAGTTTAGAGCAAGTGGGTTTTGTGCCCGGCGAAGCTATTTCAATACATGTCCAAATACAAAATCCGGACAAATTGCAGCTGCACGAAGTTACCTATGAATTGCAACAAATTAGTTGCATAACTGCTTCGCATGGACACAAAAAATCGAAAACCAGATATTTTCATAACACATTGGCTAAAGCCGTACATAATCTGTCCGGTATCCGTTATGTCGGTGTACAACATTTACAGGTGCTTTACATGCCCCAAGGTGTAGTGCCCAATACTGATATGTTGGACTGCCGTTGCTTGCAAGTTGGTTATGAGTTAAATGTTAAACTTAGCACAGGAAATAAGAAACGCTCGCTAGCAGCCACAATACCTATTACTGTGGGTACCGTAGCGCTGCACACTGCTGAGCCTATGGCTACTGTGCCACAAATGGAAACAGACTTTAGTATGGAAAAATCTCCGAAATTTAACGAGGAATTAGCAACAGACCGTGGACGGAGTAACTATGCTGGTGCTACAGCTCCCGAGCCTGAGACAACCGCAGAGACAACTGTACAAAGTAGGCCGCCAATATCTTTGGGTGAGTACTCTTTAATATCACACATTTTTTTGTAGAGAAAGCAGAACTGCTAACGGCTCGGAGAGGTCCCTTCCGCTGCTGACGGAGGTCCCTTCCGATGCTGACAGAGGTTTTGGCTTTTGTTAAATGTCAATATACATTTTGCGAGGTAACCAAATTCACGAAGTTATGGCGCTTGATTAATTGGTTAAAGCACACTTGGGTTCGTTTGTCGGGCTCGTCCGAATTCTGTAGTTTTTCGCCGCCACCAACTCACGCCGCTTTGATGTTTCCTTCAGGCGAGCAATAACCATGCATACTTCCTTATGATTGAGCAATAGAACGTATTACCATCGTCAGAGAGGAGGGAAACGGGCTCATCATATTCTGGATTTTCCTCCATCAGTTCTTACATCACATATTTTGGTCCTACAAGGCTATGCACGATTATAAAACATTTTTTCGTAGAGTTTTCGAGGATTACCTCTTCTGGTCAGTTTCTCAAGCCCTTTATGCTCACGCATTTCGGCCTCTTTCTCCGACTCTCGATATCTAACCTAAAAATAGGCAAGTGGTCTTAGTACTTTTACAAAAACCCATAGTTTCGCTTGAAGCTGCAAGTAAGGAGCTTGAAATCCCGTAACTCAGTTTACTTATACCGAGTAGCTGATTAGTACTTTCAGAGAGCAGGAATGCAAGTCGTGCTGAGAGCCGTTCGGTCGTCTATTGAGATTGCAGCTTTTCAACTTCCAACCGTCCGAGATACTACTCTGAGACAAGAAGAAAAAGAAAATTTGCTTGTACGGAAATCAAGCACTCAACCCATCAGGGAATGTTTCGTCAAGGGAACTCAGAAGAGACCTCCATCTAAATTAGAATTATAGTATTTATTAACAAACATTTCTTTTTGTTTCTTTCTTTTCTGCAGCTGCTTCATCCTTTCGCGAAGCAGAGCATTTGCCAAAAACTAAATTCGTTGCCGAACGAAAAAAATCGAAGCACGAGAAGGAGCAAACCGATTATAAGCCAATATATCTTTACTATGATAAGGAGCAGACGGCGACCGTACACTGTACATCTGTCAGTGATACAAGATCAACAGTAGTTGCAACCGACCAAATGGAAAATGAGGGACAGACAAACAATCCCTACGCGGGAGTTATGCAACAGTTGGCAAGAGAGATGCGAATACGCAAAACGGTTATTGATCAATCATTATAAAATATTTACAGTAGCATAATTAGATTTTAACTAAACTTACATACACACATTCATATATAAACATAAAAAGCATTTTAAAATGAACTGTATACGTAAACAATAAGTAGAATCAAGTATTTATATAACGGTTGCAGCATGAAAGTGCAGAAACGTAAATAAAATGGAAAATATTACCAGCGTCTACTTTTAGTTTTCGTTCTCTGAAAAGTTAAAAAAAAAATAGTTATAATCAATTAATTATAATTTTAATTGGAAAAGATTCTCAAATAAATTTACCGTATGCTCTGGTAATATCTCCGCAGAGGAGCCTATCAGTATGGGTATGATCAAATCCACTTTAGCTTGTGAGATCGTGCTGATACTCATTTCGAGACGCAGCTCATACTTAATCGATATAATGTGTATGCCCTGTGTGGATGGCGGCAATGGTGGCACGGCTAGTTGTTCATCGACTACGACTATATCGTCTGATTTGACAACAACACGATTCTCAACACTATTCAAAATGTACGACATATAACGGATACGACGGCGCGGCACTTGTGTGGTGAATTTATAGACTTGTATGAAATAGGTGGTGGCGCGAGTGCGAAATTTACACCTCTTCGACATGTTGGCCAATTCAATGGAAAATTTGATGATGCTTCCAGGTATGTAGGCGCCACTATTCACTTTTAAGTGCACCGTTACAGGACCGGCAGAACATGGCCAACAACAGAAAAACATTTCATCACTGCGCACGATGGGCAACTTTTATGTTGAACAAAGAATTTAAAGGTTAATAATTCTGATGTGTAGATTATATGTCTTACCAATGTGTTTGGCACTTTTTCTATGTTAAATGTTTGCAATACCATAATTTCTTTTGAAAATTTGCGCGCCTCTGATTTAGCCTTATAAGCCACAATTAAAATAATTTCATAAAAAATTCGTCCGATTTCTGTTGTACAAGTAGTGGCACATACATCTGGCACTACATAATCGAATGCATAATTATAAGTACCCGCTGGTAGTATGCCACCCTGGTAAACCAGCGTCTCCAATTCCATGTATGTCTCCTCGCCGGTGTAAATTTTCGGAAAACGTGCCATCGTGTCAACCCAACGGACTGTGGCCATTCCTCGAAATACTATGCGTAAGTCTGCGAAAAAAAGCAATTAAGAAATATTAATACAAGCCAAGCACACAAGCCGCTACAAAACTACAATACCTTCAAGTGATTGCTCCTTTGAGAATGCTATTTCTATATTACCGCTAACACGTTCGCCGCACTTATACAGCGGCGGATCGCGTTCGAAGATAAATTTGCAATTTGGCATCTTAAAAATTGTAATATTTTAAATTACTTTCATGTGTGCGTAAAAATAATATGAAAATCAAGATTTTTCCTTCCCGTATGATCTTACATACATAATTTATTTAAATAAATTTTCAAAAGTTCGGTTGACATGTGACTAAAAATGTCGGAGTAAGAAAGTAAGTATTCAAAAAAAATATTGAAGAATGTTTTGTTTTAAAGCAAGTCACTTACTACTGTTAACGTAAAATAAAAATAATAATAATCTAAATCCCCACCGTCATGGGAATTACTGAATTTGAGTCCCCTCTTACGCCATACGTGCTTTCCCGCGATCAAATTCTTGAGCAGGAGCAATTGGCCTTTGGAACGGTGAACCAAGTGTTTCTAATAAATTTATTTAAATCTGTTGATTGGCTAAAGAGGGGTGCTCGGACTGAGATCATTGAGCATGCTACACGACTTTACTGATCTGTGTGCCATCGAATAATTCCCTGCATTAGTTATGCTTCTTTTTTGCTACCATCCAAAATTCACTTAAGCGGAAGTTTGGAGCATCGTGGAAGATATGAAGTATCAATCGGCTGGAGTTGCTTAATTCTTGAAGATTATATCTTAGATTTAAATGCACCGTCTGCACATCTACAAAGCTACTAAGTTTACTTTTCCTTAGTGTTTTTTCTGTCTGCAATCTACGCCGCTTAACAGTAATTTAGTAGTACGCCTTACCCTGGAAGTGATTCAGAACGTTTAATATTCCTGCTTTAAGTATTGAGATTTTTGTCTTCATGAGCGCGTTACCATACAAACATTGTGAGAGCTTTGCTCTGTGAGAGTTGTTTGCGTATTTCAAATGTGGTAGCATGTATATACATATGTACATATACCTGTGCATGGTTTTTAAAAATATAACGCCATCAACATGTGTTTTGTTTTGTTCTGAGCCTTCTGTTTAAGTTGAAAAATCGCACCTGATGGTTTTGGCATTTTGCTGTGGCGTTTGGATTTAGTGTTGCCACAAAATGTGTAAAATAAAAAAAATTTAGATTTTTTAGTAACCGCAAAAATGTTCGGCAAGGTTGTTGCGGGAGTGACAGTACTCGGAAAGGTAAACATCGTTGTGTTCCTGTATGGTTGTTGCCAGACAGAAGTATATCTATCAAAATTTATGCCGATATGATCAGAATGAATACCGTAACATGTTAATAATAATTTTTTCGATTTTTGAGGATACGGGTTCTAAATTCATCAGGCTATTGCCAGGCTCCGCTCCGGTAATTTCGGTGTCAAAGATGCACCAGATTTTGCTGTGTGTTTGGTGGGATTGGCAATGAATTATCCACTACGAGCTGCTCCCCTATGGCCAAATGTTCAATTCGGCCCTCTACTGCGGTCCAAGCAGTCCATTTGCGCTTTAAGCCACTCATCCAAAAGAGGCCAACTTTGATGAACAGAGGCCGAATTGTGTTCTATAAAGACAACGACAGGCCACGCACGTCTTTGGTGACACGCCAAAAGTTCGAGGAGCTCGGATGGGAGGTCCTAATCCACCCATCTTATAGTCCTCACCTGGCGATAGCGCTTAATGGTGAGAAGTTGGCCTCAAGAGAGGTCTGTGAAAATTGGCTCTCCGAGTTTTTTGCCAATAGGGACGCAGTCTTCTATGAGAGGGGTATAATGAAGTTGGCATCTCGTTGGCAACAAACTTACGAATAAAACGGCGCATACTTGATTCAATCACAATGTTATCATATTTTGAAAAATCAATAAAAAGCGAACGAACCTTTTTCTTTACCAATATATGTTCTTGTATCTAGAAATAAATATTGTCACTGAAAATTATAGAAATCGGGGGACTACAATAAAGCCTATTTTTTCAGCTATCCTTGTCATGAAATTTGGAACTATAAAATCAGAAAACTGTATAATAATTCGAGAATTAATATTTAATGCTTAAAGGAAGTGATTTGATATGCACATTAAAGTTTTAACAACTTTGACTTGGCCGAAGACATCGCTTCTTTCTTTATTAAATCAGGCGAGTAGGCAGTAGCGCTCTAGGTGGTTAACTGGTTGCATAGGGAGGTTGAGCACCTGACCACGGTTGATAATTGTGCTCCCTGACTCAACTAAAAAGTGTCATCAATCATTTCTTCCATTCAAGTTTGATCATTTCCATTAGAGTGCTTATGAGCAGTTAAATGAGATTCTTTATTTAAAAAAGTCTTTCGGTCGCAACAGTGTTCTTTCGGACTTTTGTTCCCGTTTTTTTAATGGAATAATTTAACGCTTAAACTTTGATACAATGTAATATTTTGCGATTAATATTGAGTGGGACCTGTTGAGAAGCGGTGCCATGGCCTTAAAATTTGAATATCTTTGAGTAAAAGTTCTTTCATAATGTGAACCTCACTTTTATCTGAACGCAGATTTTATCAACGGCTCCAACCATAACCATCGGCGTTTTGTGCCGTGGGCAGTGTATTTTCTGCAGATTCTGGTAAATATGGCGGTGGCGCAGTAGCTGCAGCCTGAGAATGCAACAATGGTGTTGATTCGTTCAAACTCCCTCCAAAAGATGGTGCAGAAGGCACAGCAAAATTATTGTACATCGGATATCTGGGTATGAATTCATCATTTCGATTATGTTCGTCCACATCGCGATCGATAAACTTGCCGCCGATAGTGGTAGCCTCCTCAAAGGAAGGCGGCTCTGTAAAGACATAAAAAAGGTGTTTTTTTTTTATTATGCACATGTAATTACACAAAAAACACTTACTAAATTTATCATATTTTGGTGGTGCGTCACCAGGTGGTGTATCCGGTGTATCGGGGATTTGTGGTGCGGTCGGTAGCATATCAATTGCATTTTGTGGATTACTAGCACTCTGCGCCAAAGGCAATGTACCGATTGTGATTGGTATAACTATCTCGGAATCCGTATGGCAACCACCGGTCTTAATGGACATTTTAATCTCATAGCGCACGCCAATAATGTAGCCGGTTTCCGATGTGGGCGGTACGGGTGGTATCAGTAGTGTGCCGTCAATTATGCGCTTGGACAGTCTCAAGCATTGCATGCTCTGTTCGGCACGTGCGAGTGAATTGCTGTGATGGCGCGTCTTCTTATGCGGTGTGTGTGCCTCAAATCGATATATTTGTATCAATTTCAATTCGACACCATCTTCCAAATCATAACCGGTCGATTGATTGTCTATTTCGAGTTTATATTTAATCGTTTGACCAGGCGCGTAACCGCCAAACGGTATGATGAGTGTAGACATGACGGGCCCTGAAGAGCATGGCCAGCAACAAAAGTATTTAATGTCCTCACTCTTAATGGGTATCTGCCAAATAAATGCCAAATTTCTAAAATTAGTTATGTTTTCCTTGTGTTATTATTTATGAATGTATTTATTTACCAACAATTCTGGCTGCAAATTCAAATTTACGTGATGCAATACCGTTAGAGACTGTTTGAAGACATTATCGAAGCGATATGGACGATTAAGTACTAACGATAATTCATAAGCAATTTTGCCATATTTCTCCACACAGGATGTAGGACACTGTAGTGGTAGTGGTATGCAGAATGTATAAGTGTATGTGCCTGGCTGTAGCGTACCTTCGCCGTGTACGCATGTCTTCGAGTTCAAATAGGTTTCCGTGGCGCGAAAATATTCGGTATAGTGTTCGGTTTTGCCATCCCGCGAACGTGATCGACTCTCTTCCCAACGTACTTTTGCTTCGCCGACGAAGAGTATGTAAACTTCTGAAAATGGTAGAAACTTGAGGTTACAAATTGTCTGTTTAATATACTCCTGTGAATGTTGACTATTGTTTGCATTTAATTAAAACTTTTTCGCTGTAAATTTTTTCCGTTAACAAAGTTTAAGAGACCCGTGAACGAATAACAGTTGGCGAATTCCTGAAAGACTATTTACACTTTGAGCGACAAATACATATGTCCTTACTTTTAAACAGGTAGTTTTTTTGTGAAAAATTAAAACAAAAAATCGTTAAATATTATTCGTATTATATAAATACCATCTATATGAATGATTTCCTGTTTTTGGAAGAGAACGGGTCAACAAAAATTTTAACACATGAGTATGGGTAAAAACAATCAAAAAAAAATCTTTTTTTTTTATGTTTTGCATAGTAAAATGCCAGTCTCGATTTTCTATTTTACGAAAAATTAACTGAAATAAATGTAAGAAGCGGCCACCCTAATCTATGTATCTACATATGTATGTAATTTTTATTAATTCTCTAATGGCACCCCATAACAATTAGCGCTAGAATTTTAAAAGAAGAAATGAAACGTGCAAAAAAGTCACAATAAATATTTAGACAAATATGGATGCAATACCATATTAAATATATCGCGCAAGATATGTACATATTTACATACGTACATCATTCCGACGATATTCTAACCGAAGATTGTTGGCTTGTTGATTTGGGTTAACTTACAATGCCTGGTGATAGACTTTGAAAATTTGTTAAATCATAATTCCCTGAAAAATAAATCTTAACATTGACGGGGTTGCTTTGAGTTCTACGGGCTAGTGGCATTCGTTTAATTACAACGCATTCATATTCAAAATTACAGAAATGAATTTATATAAGAGGAAAGTGAATTATTACATATCTATGTTTTGAAATTCATACTTTGTTCGGACCGGCAAACGAAAGCACTTCGAAAACGAGTTTTGTGGTTTGCCGGCTCAACTTGATCATATTCACATTATTTCTTGAGCAATTAATTATTAAGATGAATGAAATTCTATTAAATTATAATATATACTGCAAAATATCTGAATGTATATGTGAGGGTATATACTTGCGCCAATAGAGATTTAATTCCGGTAAATATCATTTCCAGTGAAATAATATAATAGCAATGCACTGATTGTGAACATGTCAATGCATTCATTTAATCTATTTGCACAAAATAAAAATAATAAAAGTACAATTTTTACGTAAATATATATGTACTCGAACGGGATCTGGTTTATATAATATACAACACAATTCTTTCAAGTCTCAAATGCTTGGAAATTTTGAAGTGAATTTAAATAAGAATATAAAATAATATTTTATTTACTTTCTTGATAAACTAATTGCTAATATCAACAATTTGTTTGAACGATCACTGATTGTATTCGAGTTAAGTAAAAACTTGTCTACTGAATTTCATTTATGTACATCCAAATAAATTTTTAAAGATTTTTTCAATTAAATATTAATTTTTCTCTTCCCGAAAATTATAAAAGTAGGTTATTTTTGAAGAAACCCATATTTACCTCTAACACTTTTCTCGCTGGTTGTGTGCAATTGAATGCGTCCGTTAATTACTTCACCACTGTAGTAAACTGGTTGTTGTCGATCGAACTCGAAGACGCAGTGCGAAGGCATATTCACTTAATTTATTAATGATTTTATTGCTCGTAAACAAATTGTTTTTAATTAAATACACATATGTATATATATATACATATATATAAATGTACAGTATAAACGGCTAATTTTTTAATTATGAGAAAGACACCCAGACGCCGTATGTACTCCTAGAGCAACACACTAAAAATATACTTTTTAAATAATTCGCAGAAATATACGTATTGTATTGTATAAACGTGCTACACATATATCCTATGTATTTATATATGTATGTATGTATATATATTATTTGTTATGTTTCACATCATGATCTTTATTTTATTTTATTGTTAAAACACACAATATTTACGAATATCACATATTTTTCTTTTCAAATTTGTATTTTGACGCACTCGCATATATTATATGTCTCGTACGTACATAGATAACAGCAACAATATAGCAGCAAACTCTTATATTTTGCCGTCTACCTTGGCTCCACACTGTCGATGCATCCGGCCCACTAACGTCGCGCGAAGTGTCTAAACAATATATAATAATAAGACTCACAAACTCTTGTTTATTTCGATGGAATGAAGGGAATGAGATTTTTGTCGACTGTCTCCATGAGCGCGTTGGAGCAAATGCACATAACATTCAGAGAACATCAAAGCAAGGCGTGAGAGCTTTGCTCGCTACTACATGTGTTGTGTTGTTGCGTATTTCAATTGTGGGAGCATACATGTGCATGGGTATATAATACATTGCATATATGTGCATAGCTTTTGGGAATATGACGTCATCAACTTGTTTTTTGTTTTGACTTGAGTCTTCTGTTTATATTAAAATAGCACCGGGTGTTTTGACATTTTGCTGCGGCGTTTTCGTTTGGTGTTGCCACAAGATGAGTAAAATAATTATACTCGTAGTTTTAATTTTTAAAGAGTGCCCATTTTTGCCCAGCTTAAGAAATTACTTATGCTTATACGAACATTTGTAAGTTTAATTTTTTAATAGTAGACACCTATTGGAGTTAAAAAATGAAGCCAAATCACCCTCAACCGAAGCATTAGTCGCACACCAAAAACTGGAAGGGGACATGGTCCTGTGGAATACCTTCAGCGGTTGCTAAGCACCAATTATATATAAAGAGTGATCGATTTCGAGATTCACTACGATTTTAAAGAAAAAAAAAAAAAACAACAAAAATTTGAGTTTAATGGGGCATGTTTATTATCATTCCAAAGTACATTTTTTGTCATTTGTTTTTTTGAAGATTATCTCTTAAAAATGTTGACCACGGCTACGTCTCAACTCTCAACAGTCCAATTTGGCATAGACTTTAGACTTTATATATCTCCTCAGGCAATAGTCTGAGGGTGTGATATACCACGATCTTTGTGGCCAAATCGATCGGCCCAAAACGTGAAATTATCTGCTCACCGAATTGATTGTTTATCAGCCCTTAATAAATCCATTGATTGATGCGATTTGTGGAAAGTGGTGCTGTCTCGTTGAAACCAAATGTTGTCGAGTTAGCGAAGTTCATTGACGGTTACGCTATCACCGTTTTCATTATTGAAGAAATATAGGCCGCTGATTCCACCGGCGTACAAGCCACACCAAAACGATGTTTTTTTCGAAAGAAATGGCAACTTTTGTATCTCTTTAAGTTAATCTTCCTTTTGCTTTTTCAAAAACCCATTGAGCCAGAAATGGCCCTCATCGTTAAACAACAACTTTTCAAGAGCACTAGAGCGAAGTGTTGTCGCTTGGGTGAGTCTAGCGGCATCAGTGAGTAGCTGTAGCTGTATTTTGTATGCTTTCAATTTAAGATCTCGACGTAAAATGTGTCAAATTGTTCCATAGGTCAGTTCAAGTTTCTGCGAAGACCATGGTCTTCGTGTATACTCTCAGCTGCGGTCGCTATATCTTTCACTGCGTGCTGGATGAGGTCTCAAGGTAGGAGTGAAGCAAACGGAACACATTGTTACAGAACGTGAATTTATGTTAAAAGGCTGAACGATTTCAAAGATGAAATATTAAACAATATTGAACAAAAATAATATGACGCTTAATCTGCCAAAAATTGCTCTACTTGGATTACCCGTTAGATACATTTCTTGAACATGAAATTTTATTTAAATTCTAGTCTGAAGAATGAAATTATAAAAAGAAGAACAGATATGCCGACAAAAATATATACAGTTCAGTTGAAAATGTATCGATTTTGGCTTTCCTGTCTATCGGTCCACTTGAGCCAAACTTGATACGCAGATGTATGTTTGCACGGTACCGATCATATGTGGGAACTTATCACATTGGCCCACTGAAACATAATATACACATATGCTTCACAGAACCGATTCATTCGGACATGAAGTTTTTGGTAAAAGTCCGCTAAAATATCATTCACCACTGAATTTGGTATTATATAAATAAAAACTCAAACAAATTTTTTCAGTGAAAACTATTGAAATTGGCACCCGATAACCTACCTTTTGAATATTAGAATGTGTATTTATGCATTTTTGGAATAAATAAATTTGATATATTCAAGCAAGGCATAACATATTCTTACAAACCCAATCTGTCTGATATTAAAAAGACAAAGAATTTATCTCTTATTTATTTATTGTTGTTTTGTGCAGATTTGCTTCTTGTTTTAAAAACATTCTCATCGCTACTGGGTGAATGAACTCATCAATATACTCGCAATAAGCTTATTATCTACTTGAAATTTCAAAATTTACAACAACAAGCTTATATTGTAAGGAAAATTGCTTGTTTCCAGTTACTGTTTTGGTCGACTTTTTTTTTTTCATTTTCATTTGCGTGCCATTTTCCAGGACAATTTTTTGGGCAGGACTTCCTTCTCTCATATGTAAATATAATATTTGTTTATATTATATGTGAATTATTAATATTAGTAGTTGTCAATTATAACACTACTTAATAATATATTGCACTTTTGTTCTTTTCTAACTTTTTTTCGACTATTTGCAAGTAATCATATCTGTATAGGTGATTCAGTTGTTGGTTGGTCTTTAACGAAATCTTTGGTCATTGTTTCATCAACTGCCCGGCGGCGTCGTCTTCTACGACGCTTCGGCGGTAAGTTAGGTGGTGGACTTAAACCGAAATTGGTATAGGCTTGAGGAGTTTCATCTATATTGAAGACTGGATATCGTGGTGTAAATGGCGCATCCACACTCACCGTGTTCGCATCGTTATCGGCGATATTAGTGCTCATAAAGACAGCCTGTTCATAAGTAGGTGGAGCTAAAAAAAAAAAATAATAATAATTGAACAGTTAAAAAAAGCATAATTTTTTTATACTGAAATATATTTGGATCTTTGGGCGAGTAAGAATAACATTAACAAGCGAGAAAAGCCATTTCACTTACGTAATTCAATTTCCTCTTCCCCTTCACTCAGTTCGTCCACCTCATCGACTCCTCCAACAGCACCAATTTCATGCTCTAAACTATTTTCCAAGAGAACATTTCGTGATGCCGCGGCACCCATTAGTGCCTCCTCCCTTTCCTCCAACCATTCATCTTCAATAATGTTATCTGTAGTTAATGGTACATTTCCGATTGTAATCGGTATAACCGTTTTAGGATTGCTCATTAGAGTACTCATTACTGCCGTCACACACAATTCATAGGAGACACGCAAAACTTTGCTGATATGCTCACACGTGGGTGCCGTTGCCGGTATCCGTATAGTTTCAGCGAAGGCTTTTCGTGTGTTTCGCTGCACAGGACCACAGATTTTCTTTACAAGACAAATTTTCTCGGAGACTGTATGCAACGCGGGTGTAAACGAGGTGTAGGTGGCACGTAAATTCAACGTTATTATTATTTTTTTACAGTCTGCCGAGGATTTATTGTCCACGTCGGCGCTTATTAATACATACTGACCGGGTACGTAGCCCGTCTGCTGCAGATCCACTCTCATATGCACAGGTTTGGACGGCATGAAACAAACATTCTCCATTGCATCGTTGGTTGCTGGCGACTGTTGTGTAAAATAATTACATATATTATTTACAAATTTTTTTTTTTTAACTCACCCTTAATAAATTGCCCTCACGATTTAGATCTAAAAGTCTTAATACTGTAAATCCGACATTATGTGTACGATCGGCTGCACCATTTTGTATGAATGAAACCCTTACGAGATAGCGTATATGTCCATAGCTACCCTCAAAGGAAGACGGACAGTTTTCCGGTATAGAACAGGAGAATATGTAGGTATACGTGCCGGCATCCATGCTGAAATTCTTTCTATCCTCTGAACCAACTAGATATGTCGTAGATGATATATAGTCCTCGCGCCCACTGTACACATGCCTATCTTTCGGATCTATTTTCTGTATTGCTATCTTCTGTCCATATTTCTCGCGCCATTGACAGACACCGAAACCGCAGATTTGTAATTTGATGCCTCAAAGAGAAATAGAATAGCAGTTAATATGGTATTGTTGTGTTTTATTAACACACCTACATATGTTTATTAAATTGTATTAAAAGTCTTATATAATTAAAGTACTCAGAATTTGAGAGGAGCTCGATTCCTTCAATAGGAGCAATGAATAATGTGGTCAAAACCACCAGCCGATTTATAGAGATGGCATTTTTCCTGCAGTCAGACCTTTGACTATTTCAGTTTTTAATTTTTTTTTAGCTTGGCAATCGTTTGAAGGAGCTTTCAGTAACTAACCAACAGATACCGTGACATCCGTACTAGATCTCGCAGGTGCATATTTGTTTACATATCACAAGCACACAGAGACATGTTTCCAATAACGCTGCTCTAAATGAAGTTTGGATATTTCTTTCAGCCAAAGCAAAGTTTTACAAGTCATTCAAATACATGAGAAAGACTAGACCCTCTTTGAGTTTAAAAGAGCTAAAGCTGGAATTTAATTTTCAGTATCTGACGCCAGACCTTCGTATCAATGTTGGCACTATGGCATTGTAATATGAAGTTGGTTCAAAACTTCTCGGTCAATTCGAAGGTGAATTTTCTTCTAATGTGTCATTGGAACTTTCATTCAAACTGCCAGTTCATTTCATGGGGTTCCAGGCGGAAATCTTTGAAAAACGAATACTCAAAAAGAGATATTTTAATTTTCAGTGACTGCCAGATAGCTATAAAAGCTCTAGACTCAATCGTGCTGAGCTGTGGCATCCTTTCAGGAGGTGGCTGAAAGGAACAAACTACCACACTTCTGAGGTCAGAGACAGAGAGACACATTATAATAAACATACTGCGTCAAGGTGAGAAATGAACATAAACTTGACTTGTCCAAGATTATGCAACCTTGGTCGAAGTCAGACCGCTAGAGATCGAATGCCTTATGTTTTCTGAACGAGGAGGATATTTCAATGGTAATTGGGATAATACCTTATAATCAAAAGATGTTTTTTTACGAAATGTTATATAAGTGATTGCATTGAAATGGGGCAAAATTCGACTTATTGGAGTTGTTTTAATGAATAGTATTTGAGGAGAACAGAAACTGAAGTTGGACATCTGAAACGAGTTGAATTAATAACGAAGTCCAAGTGGATGGAAATGGAGCTTTGACCCGGCTGCTAGTTTCTTGGTAACACTATGGGCCAAGTGAAGCGAATGTAAAACTAAAAAAATATCGTATAACTGACTTAAAACTAATTTACGATATATGCCTTTTGTGTTTTTTAAATTTTAATGAAGAGAGGAGGTAATGAGTAGTATTTTCATCGAAAAAAATATTTTACCTTAACGTACCAATACTGGTTAGCTATTATATATACCGATTTATCCAACAAAATTCTGAGATTTCCTTGAATGAAATATGGTATTCCATCTAACCACATTATTTCAAAACATAAAGTTCCTTAAATTATCTATTAATAACTGTAAGATTTTGAAAGGTTTTCCCTTTCAAAATCGAATTTAAAAAGTTTTACGTCAGTTTTTTTAATTTATCTTCTTTTTAAAATAACAAAATGTTTGAGCGCTGTGATGGAAACCAAATATTTGCTAATGTATAAACTATATTCAAGCTTTGTGTGTGATATTTCAAATTGTGATAAGCTAAATATATCAAATACTCTTACATTCCTTTGCTATAAGCACCGGAATCGGGTTCAGATAAGATAACTGTGACTGTATGTTGCGCTCTATTGTATGCATTACATAATATAGGGCTATACATTTCTTCGTTTCAAAAGAGCAGCTGCAGTTTTATATCTGTCGAGCATAACTGCTTTGTGTTTGCAAATAGTCCGTCATTTATTTACCATTCACAACGCCTTACATACATTTGAGAGACATCAAGCAGTGGCCGAGGATTGTTCGAATGAAAAAAGTTTCTCCAGGGACGAGGCGCATTTCATACTTGGGAGATATGTTAGGGAGCAAAATTGTTACTTTAAGTCTCTAGCATAGTCGAAATGATGCTATTGCACCAAAACACTTATTTTCTGATGTGTTCTTTGGTTCGGAGGTGTGATCGGGTCCTGCTCTTCTGAAAACGATAATTACGACGCTGTCATTGTCACTTCAGAGTGTTATAGTTATATAATAACAGCCTTATTTTGTGCCTGCAATTGAAGAACACGACTTGTACAATATGTGGTTGCAGCAAGATGGAACAACATTCAACACAACACGGGCGTATATGATTGTATTGATGTGGCCACCGAGATGGTGCGATTCGCCACGATTGGACTTTTTTATGGAGCTATGCGGATAAATCTTTAACACTTGAGCACTCGAAAACCAAAATTCGTCAAGTTATGGCTGATATACTGCCTAATATGTGGCAAAAAGTGATCGAAAATTCCCTCGAACGGATCGAAGTTTGCCTAAATTTAGGAGTTATTCATTTGAATGATGTTGCTTTTCGCATATAATGCCAAAGCTCAAACCTTTTTAATAAAAAAAAAAAAATGAAAATGTTTTGAAATGTCAAACCTTTTAAATATGTAGGTAAAGATGGTCCTACGTGCCGTACATCCTGCGAAACAATCAATATTCTTCTATTGAAGGAAACTTTTGAGAATCGCACTATCTTGCATCTTGAGCCTGTGGTGTGACCTCAAAGATATAACACCACTGGACTGTTTTTTGTCAAGCTAAGCCTGAGATAAGCCTGAGACGATTAACACACGGCGACGAAAGCTGCAAAAATTGTTCGAGCCTCTCGGTTGGAATATATTCTCTGTCTGACCCCGTTCACTTGCCCCCCGAAAACATTTTTAAAATATAATATTTATAAAAGCGCCAAAATATTCACCACCACTTTAAATTATATATATTTTAATTCTTCTTGAAAGTCAGTTGTATAAAAAAACACACTTTAGAAAAAAAAGAAAAACTAGAAAAGTGTAAACACATGATTTTACTTAGAGTGATCATCTAACGTCATCATATCACAAATGATATAAATAATGAGCTCCTAAAATACTATATATCATATGTTGGGAAAACAGCACCATAAATAGGATGAAGAGCTTGGCCGAAAATTGCTTCAGCGGTTAAAAAACTTCAATTATAAATATGTGTAATATATAATTATATTGTTGTATTTGTATGCTTGTATATGTGTTTACTTATAAGTAAATATTCACTACATAGAAATTTATATCTTGCAACTATATACACTCATAGACCAAAATAGGAATCATATTTTTGTTATAAGAAGAAAATAAATCATGAATCATTTAAAAGTTCAAAATTGACTTAGGTGGGAGTATGTATGAGTGTACTCATATAAGCAAACTTGAAAAACAAATAAACAAAATAGTTGAACCTGCAAAACATACGCATTTTCAAAAAGAACTAAAAATAATATTTAAATCTAAGTAAATACGTGCAAATATATTAAGTACTACAAGTACATATGTAATTAAAATCATTTTCAATTGCATATAAATATATATTTATATATATATATATATATATATAGAGTAGTCAGAAAATTTGAGGAAAATAGTTTATTTTTTCTATGCTGGTGTTCATTTATGAATCATTTTTGTATCGTCAACTAGCGTAATTCCGTCGCAGTTATAGAAAGCGAGATAAAGATCACCTAAGCCATATATTGCAAGAAAAATGGATGACCTTTTGTACGCATTGTAATCGCTGAAGAGATTTTCGGCCGAGGTCCTCCTCCAATTTGTGTTTTTGCGCCTTGATGTTTTTCCAACGAATGCAGGGACCTACAGTTTATACTAAGCCGCCTCCGAACAGCTGATGGTTTTCTTATGAGCAGCTTTATTTCATGTTGGAAATACACTGGGAGGGGTTGACACTCCCTGCCGAGGAGCGACCACAATTAGAAAATTTAAATTTATTTTTTATTTAAATTAATTTTCTATAACTTTTGGACTTAAGTGCGGCACCAGGATATACAAGTATAATATAACCTATATTATTTTCCCATTTTCAAGTATGTCAAATCTATCACTTATTATCAATAATTTGTTTATTAATTGGGAACTAAATTATATTGCCATAAGAAGTCAGTCGCATGGTGATTTTCGAAACAGCTCCCGCTTCGACTACTTTTCGTTGTTGTATAACAATAATATTCAATTCATACAAACAAACCGGGCCTTTAGCTCACTAATAAAAAAATTTATAATCATTTATATTATATTATTATTTTTTTTATTATTGAATAAAAAAAAAATCGCTCGAAAAATAGTTTTTTTTACCTTTAATTTTTTTCGATTTCTCCAATGTAATTACCACTTTTCCACTTACAGTTTGGCCCGTGAAGTAAGTGCCGAAATCATTTTGATCGAATAAAATAACACAGTTTAATTTTTTACCCTCACTCATTTTTCGCGATTAAAAGTATTTAGTAATAAATAAACAAATTGCCAAAAAGAAATATTTTGAAGTAAATTTTATGCGTCACACCACGCGTGCGCGTACTAAACAAATACTTGCTGATGGTATAACCATACTCCAACGGCAACAAAGGTAAACTAAATCAACAGTTATTTTTTATAGGTAAACGTAAAGTTACTCCGCAATAGATAAGTAGACTAGGCGACTGAGTAGTTGAGTAGAGTAGTTATATTTATTATAGACTATACAAGATAGAGAGAATATTAAGCTAAAAAGACGGCGAGCGCGTATGTATGTGTGGGCATTATCTTACTGCTATTATCTTTTTTTTGTTGTAAAAGTACATAAGAGTAAGTATTTTTACTACACAAAATAACAGGTGATCCGAAGACAATTTTGTTTGCATTCTTCAATGAAAATATATTTATTTTGTTATTCGTACATATATTCCGAACGAATATGTCTAGTTTAGTGGAGCTAGTCCGATTTATTCAATTTACAATAAAATCGTTTAGCCTAATCTATACACCAGAGGAGCGGCTGCAAATGAATATTGGTCTTGGAGCAAGCGGCTCGCTATAAAATGTGTAAAATGTTTAAACCTTTCCGCAGTATGAAATTGTGCGCTGGGCTGCCCAACCCCCCACGTAGAAACAAGCTTAAGTGAAAAAGAGATAACAGCATCGGTTGAGAGATCCTCTACGACCATGGCAGCTGTACTAAGGGCTACGATTGGAGTATATGTACCGGATATGTCTCGTTCATTAACTGGGCGCAGCTGCTCAGCTTATTGATGCAAAATTTGTATAAGTCCGGGAAACCGACTCCTCGCTCAGAGAATAATGAAAGGCTAACATCGCCACTGTCCAATAATTGTAATGTATCGCTGGATTGATAAAAAGGTAAAATTATTATTGATGATGGCTGGGGTGGATGAAAAAGTTCGGCGGGGAGATCTGGGCTTAAGATCCAAGCTATTCAAAGATGAACAAAAATTGACCAAGTGCCTTTTGGTACAATTTAGTCGGACGAAGGCATGACTGACATTCAGAGCTATGGGTACCTCACAATCTGTGCCAATTGTAGTGGGAAGAGCATCCTCATTATCTCATATAGGATTGTATTGAGCATTCTGCTAGAAAGACTAAATCCAACCTTTCGCTAGCTTATTGGATTTTATCAGCCTAAAGTCGGCTACGCAAACGTGAAACTTACCAGATATTCGCCATTTGAACTTGGTTTACTTATAAAACTCATAAGGGAGTGTCAGCTGGCGCTGAACGACACGGAAAGCTTCATAACTTCTATAAACCAATAGATATTAAAGGAGGCTTCAGACAAGGCGACTCCACATCGTACAACTTCTTTAACTTAATGAATGCGAAAATGAAATGAGCTATAGAGCTAAGTCGAGAAGGTAGAACCTCCTACCAGAGTGTGAAAATTAAAACACACTTGACCTTAACAAAATCATCAATGGATCTGCTTGCTCCTCATTGTATACGGGAGCGAGGTAAATTAGTTTTTGCGATCATCTTATATGCCAGTAGCTCATTCAAAGTTAGATCATTCACAGTTGACAGCCACAACTTTGAAGTCGTAGATAATTTCATCATGGAAGAGACTTGCGTAGTTTAGCGTATCAAGAGACAGCGGCCACACTGTCTAGGTCATATTATCGGGATGGATGCAGGCACTTCTGTTTTAACAGTATTCGAAGCGGTACTCGCTGGTGGAAACAAAGAAAAAAAAGCTTTGGAAAGCTGACGTAGAAAAAGGCTTGATTATACTTGGTACCTCCTATTGGTGTCGAGCAGCTTAGAGGATAAACGAATGGCATGGTATTTTTAACTCGGCGATTATTGCCAAGCGTTATATACGCGAACAAAGAAGAGAAGAAGAAATTAAATATAATGTAAAAAGTGTATAAGATATTTCAGATTTATTTAAGGAATTCCATAGTAATTAAACATTATTAGATATTGGCACAAGTTATTCAATACTTTTGAGCATCACATTTTTATTTTGTTCTGTCTCTCTCTCTTACTCTCTCTCTCTCTCTTAGCAAGTTCGATAAGATAAACTATACAACCGATAGCGAAACAAAATGCATATTAATAATAAATAAAGAACAACTCGGCCTTACCGTGATATTGAATTTTTCATAATATATGGATGAAATTTATCAATGAACTGATAGCGAAATACACCCGTACATAGGTAAAGCTTCGCTAGCTCATTACGCTCGCGTTAATACAAACAGGTAAAGGTTAAGCAAAAACGATTGGGTATTGACGACAAATTATTTTACAAAAACGCTAAAATGCAACATTCCAGTTTGCCAATGAAACAGTTATTAGGACGCGGCACGTCGGGGTAGAACGTTCAATTGTAGAGTTATGTGCGACTTTTGCTTACCAACCAAATGTGTTAAATGCTAACAAAATGGTCGTAACGTGTGAAATTGAGTTTGATATTAATCCATTTGGCACCTTTTATGCTGGTCAAGTGTTAACGGGCAGAGTTACATTGCAAGCGGATAAACCAAAACAAGTGAAAGGTAAATTAATTTGGTAAATTCACTTGTGGGTGAAAGAAAAAAGAAATAAATAATTAAAATTAAAAAAAAAAAAAAAAATAAATAAATAAATATTGAATATAATTGAAGAAAATTACTATTTAATTATTTTACCACTAATAAATATCTGCTGCTTTTTTTTAAATCATATGAATCATCGCTTTTCTGTTTATACCAATACATAGGTAAGTGTACTTGCATTTCCTTTAAATACATGCAAACGTGTTTTGCTATCTTCAAAAAATAATTAGAAACCATAAAATTACTGTTATCAAGCTTTTCAAATGGTTTTGCGAAAATTCTAAATGCGAAAGGCAGTTAAGAAAGTATAGAAATAAATAAGGAAGTGCTTACTTAGTTAAATAAACTGAAAATTTTTATAGTGTTTATGCTCCTGACACTGTAACAGTCCGTTTTCGTTTCGGTAATTTTTAAGTAAATAATGATTGACGGTGGAAGACCAATTGTCGAAAACGTTGAAAAAAATGGAAATCGTCGAGTCTGACCATCATACGAGCACTTTTACGTTTTCCGAGGACCTAAACATTGCAAAAAAAAGAACTTTTTGGAACCTCTTTAAAGAGGCTGGATATGCAAAGAGCCTCGATGTATCGGTGCCAAATAAGTTAACGAGAAAAAAACTAATAGACCGAGTCGCTGTCGATTCGTAACAAAATCGGCACATTTCTGTTACAGATGATAACTGTTGTTGAAAAGTGGATCAGCTATAGCAATGTCAAAGGTTGTGGTCGAAGGGCAACTGAGCCGATCAGCTGCGATCGCCAGGATGGACGGCCAGAAAGATTTTTGTTGAAGCAAGCAGTCGCAGAGAAGCTCTCAGCATTGGCCGACAGGTAGGCAACTGGAACAACACCATAACACCCACATCGGTGGTAACTTGCCAGAAGCTTCGAAAGTTTAGCTGAGTGGTTCTTATGCATACTTTTTATAGTTCGGACCTCGCACCAAGTACTTTCCATCTGTTCCTGGGTACGACCAGTGACTTTGGTGGTGAAGACTGCAACTAGAAAGTTTCATTTGAATTATTTTTATATTTTTAATTACCAAGGACACTCCGAATGGCAGTACCCACTCTTTTACTGTTGCTGCGGCCTCCGTATTTATAATCGTATTTGTAGATCGAAATGTGTTGACCAGTGTTTTAATAGTTTGTGGGATTTCTCTGTTATCGCGAAATATATTGCATTAGTTCAACAATTTGTTCAAAACATGTACTTAATGTGCATACCAAAAAGAAATATGACTAATGCTGATTTGAGTCAAAAATCTATTGATTTATTTGTTTTAGTACGTTCGGCTTGAACGACTACAGCACTTATTGCGTGAAGTTTAATGCTCCTTAGCTGTTTGGTTAATGATTTTTTATTTGTTATCAATTATTTATAGGAATTGTATTAAAAATCACCGGATGTGCAGATACAAGTTGGAAAGAGAGCACAAACAGAACAAAGACCGATGCAAAAGGACATTCAAAAACTGAAACGGAAACAACACACTATCGTGGCCATGAGGACTACATTCATTCTAAAACTTATTTGCTGAGCTCAAGTGAAAGTATGTAAAAGTTGTGCTTTGTGATTATTAATTTTTTTTGAATTATTTATGTTGGCTTTAGATCAGTCCGCTGTTATTGAACCGGGCATACATACTTACACTTTTGCTTGTCATTTACCCCAAACCTGCCCCACATCCTTTGAAGGCATCTATGGACACATACGGTACCTGATAAAAGTGGAGCTCGTACGACCATGGAAATTTAATCAAAATTTTACAAGAGGCTTTACGGTTTTAAAAGTCATGGATTTGAACTATGATAGCCCTTTGCTACGGGTAAGATGATATTTTGACACATTTTGTATTGGACATTTGGACGAAGAAAACATTTTTCTCTTATCTGAAAGGTACCTTGCAAATCCGAGGCCACGAAGATCTTCTGTTGCGGTCCGTGTAAATCACAACCGTTAGACATTCAAGTCTCTCTACCGCAAACTGGTTACGTACCTGGGCAAACCATACCTATTAATGTACTCGTATCAAACGAAACGAACGTAAAGGTTGAAGAGCTGAAATTGGAATTGGTAATGCTCATTTGTTATTACAGTCAAACTCCATTGACACGCACGAAGAATGAACGAATTGTTGTGACCAAAATGAAGGGTGATGGTGTGCCCGTGCACTGCAAGAAACAATTTATTTATCCCTTGGTCGTGCCTGCAACACCACCTACTTGTTTCAATCTCTGCCGCATCATACAGATTGCCTATCAAATTGAAGTTGCAGCAAAAGTTAAGGGCTGGCATGCCAATCAAACAATTTGTACAGCGGTAACAATTGGTAATGTACCGTTACTAGGCGTCATACAAAGCCAACCAACGGCAAAGTCGAGCATGAGCAATGGTGCCGTGCCACGATCCTTGGAGTTTAATGACGCTAGCTCCAGCTCCAACACTGATATTAAGGAGAATAAATCAAACACTGCCGATAATCTGAAGTCTGCTAATTTAGAGAACGCCATACAAGTCGGCAGTGTTGAGGGAACAAGCAGTGCCATTATGATAGATACACCACCTAGCCCGTGGGCAGCTGATGCTAATATACGTAAGTAACCATTTTTTGTTGTGTGGTCATACCGACATTAAACTAACTCCTCTCTTACATGCCATATCAGCGCCACCATCTTATGAAGCTGCTGTGCATATGAAGAAAGCAAAGCTCTCCCCCAGCGAAGGTCAGGAATATGGAGAAACAGAATTCACACCTCGGTATCCAGTCTTCCATATCAGAAGTCTTAGTACGTCTGGCGTAGATGAAGTTGATGTACCAACGGTTGCTGGTACAGCGGTCAATGGTGTGAGCGATGTAACTGGTGCTACTAATAATAACACGCCGGAAAAGAGTACTTGGCTTTGAGCTCAATGTGTATTAAAATCAAATGTTTGAATAAAAATAAATATGAACTAATATTTATGTACTGTTTATACATATTTTTCTTCAGCGGCCCTTATTTACTCGCACTTCACCACACAAAACGTCAAATTAATTAACAAAATATGTATTTGATAAAAAAAATTCTCTCAACTATGCTTTTCAATTCCATTTCGTTTTGATTACTAATTACGCACATAAACTTAGCTCTTATCAAAAATATTGCGGTTGCTTATCTAAAACCATTGAAATGTCGCTCTATTGTTTGTTGTTTTGCACAAAATATTTGAATAATGTATATAATAAAAGATCATTTACGCTTTTGTTTTTTCACGTTTGTGCTATATGAGTGCTTAGTTGAAGTTAAATATTCTCTACACACCGTTAAGCAACATGCTCACTATCCAATTTTCCCCAATTCAGTCCGATTCGGTCGGTTGTTGAAGTAAAATGGTTGTGACTTGTGATATTCAATTCAATCAAAATGAGTTCGGAACCTATTTCGCTGGTCAGCTGGTGGATGGGTCGGTGGTGCTAAAAGCTGATAAGCCAAAAAACGTTAAAGGTACGGCGAAAATTGATAATCGTAAAGTGCACAAGTATGAAATTCTTTACGCACCCATTAGTGGTATTGCCTTTTGGAATAACTATATTTTAAGCACTAAGTTTGATTACTCGTTTATTAGATATAACCATTTCCTCACTAGCTAATTTGTGCAAGTACTTATGTTTACTTTTGCTTCAGGCAAATATACGCGTATTTGTACCAATGCTGTGATGTAATCACTTAAAGCTAATATTGCGAAAAAATGGATGCAAATAAAATAAGATAAAAATATTATATTGAAAAAAAAATTAAAATATAAAAAAATAAAATAAAATTAAATTAAAATAAAAAAATGAAATAAAATAATATAAAATAAATAAAATGCAATAAAATAAAAAAAAAATAAATAAAATAAAATAAAATAAAATAAAATAAAATAAAATAAAATAAAATAAAATAAAATAAAATAAAATAAAATAAAATAAAATAAAATAAAATAAAATAAAATAAAATAAAGTTAATCAAAAAAAATAAAATTAAATTAAATTAAAAAAATGAAATAAAATAATATACATGTCAAATAAAAGAAAGAATACAATAAAATAAAATTAGTAAAATAACACTAAAATAAAATAATATGAAATGCAAAAATTAAATGAATGAAAATAATAAAAAAATAAACTAAACTAAAATAAAAAAAAATTGTAAAGTAAATAAAATTGAATTAAATCAAATAAAATAAAATGAAATGGTAAATTAAAAAAATTTAAATTAAAAAATTACTTAAGTGTAAGATATACCCAATTTATGCTTATTATGACGTTTTTCATTCCTAAATCTTGTATCGGCATTGGCCTGTAAGCTAGATCTCATCTTTCACGTTGTTCCAAAGGAAGGAAAAAGTCGCAAGATGTTAGATTACAAGATCTTGCGACCACCTTTTCGAAAGAGTACAAGGTCCGGAACTGGTTTCGTTTTGTTCTTAGTAAACGTTGTAAAGATCAATACCATCGAATTCCGTTTATAAAAAGTAATTAATCATCTCTCGATAACTGTGGCTTCAGCCTCATTTTCGGCAAAGTAAGGTTCAATGATTCCCACTTACCATAAACCGCACCAAAAAGTTACACATACAGAGTCTTTTCAGCAATAAATCGAATTTTTTCCCAGCCCCAGATGTGAAAGTTGTCCTTATTGACATAGCCATCAGTCAAATTGATTTTTAAATGATATTCTGAATTATTTATATGCATTTCAAGGACCCTATGAGAAAAGATATGACGTTGTTGACAATCGGCCGGCTCGAGCTCTTGTGTTAACTCAACTTTTTAAGCCTTAAAACCCAAATTTCTTTCAAAATGCGGTGTTATGATGTTTGGGGAATGACCTATTCCAAAGAACTACGACTTTGGGCTACATCAGCAATATTCTTTCAGTTGTTCTTGAGCGAAGTGCCTGTGTTTTATTCTTTACTTCACTAACTTAACCAACCTTCCACTGTTTCAATTATATGTGTACATGCTATTACCATATATTCGACAAATGGTCGGCACGTTTTAATCCCAGCAAATTTTTTGATAAAATTCCATTCCACCTGCGAAACCACCTTTTGTTCTTTTAATCAATTTAGCAAATATCGTTTATGATTGCTTTTTCAAAAATTATTTTTAGTTATGTTAATCTTTTTATTTTCATTATCGCTTAAATAAATTTTTTATTATGACATTGATACTCGCTGTCTTGAATTTTTACAACAAATTTATGCGAAATCAATAAAGAGAAGTGCCTCAAGCGATTCACGACTTGGACGTAGACTGTGTGGAATAAGTGTCCGCCGTTCAGATAAAAATAATTGCTTGCAGACATTCTAAGGTGAAAATATAAAAAATTATCTTCATTGAAAAGGCCAATAAGGTTAGCATGGAAAGTAGCTTTTTGGTTTCTTGCAAAGTTTTTAGGGACTGCGATTTGAGTATGCCTAGTTACTTATTCTGGTCCTAACACCGATTTGGAATGCTATCTTGTCGCAGCGAAGATAATCACCCGCCTCTGTGTATCGAAGAACTCCCGTCAACAAACACAAGGGAGGTTCGACATTGAAAAGCTGAAATCACAACAGACTGCCGAGCAATTTTCTACCCGATTTGCACACCTACTCTCTGAGAGCACTCATCAGCAAATCGGCATAAGAGTAGTGCTCGAAAATAAAAAAAAGATAAGGAGCAAACTATTGTAGAACCCAGAGGGGTGAGCTAGTGATGGATGCCCAGAGTATACTGAATCTGTGGGGGGAACACTTCTCCAGCCTGCTGAATACCAGTGAAAAAAAAAACACCAGAATAAGGTGAACCCGAAAATTCAATTGATAATGGTGATGTAAAGGTTCTTCCAATAGCCAACTATGAAGCAGTCCGAATAGCAATCGCCTGTTGGAAAAACAACAAAGAGGCGGGGACCGATGGATTACCAGCCGTACTATTCAAATACGGCAGTGAAGAGCTGATAAGGTGTATGCATCAGATATTTTTTCCGTAATATGGTCGAATGAAAGCATACCCGACGATTGAAACCTAAGTGTGCTCTACCCAATCCACAAAAAATGTGAACCCACAGTCTGCATCAATTATCGAGGAATAAGTCTTCTTAACATCGCATATAAGGTCTGATCAAGCGCGTTGTGTGAAAGACTAAAGCCCACCGTCAACAAACTGTTTGCACCTTATCAGTGTGGCTTAGACCTGGTATGTCAACCATTGATATGTCGGAATTGGAAAGAAGAAATGGCGCATAAACGATGACGATGAGCGAGTCTTCGAGAGAAAAGTTTTACGAATGATTTGTTATCCTTGGCAGGAGCGAGTACTGCAGATGGTGGAAAGATGAGCTATGCGAGCTATACGAGGATATTGACATAGTCCAACCAATGAAGAGAGAGCGTATACGCTGCCTTGGTCATGTCGTCCGAATGGATGAAAACAATCCAGCTTTGAAGTATTTGATACAATGCCCGGTGGTGGAAGCAGAGGAGGAGGAAGACCTCAACTCCGTTGGAAGGATTAGGTGGAAAGTAACTTGGCTTCACTTAGTATTTCCGATTGGCGCCAGACAGTAAAAAGAAGAGAGGAATGACGCGCTAATATTGATTCGGCTATAATCGCGTAAGCGGTGTCAACACCATTAAAGAAAAATTACAGGCTGGCTTCATTAGCGCCACTGAGGTACGATGGAGGAGACCAATACGGTTATATGTAGGTCCTTGCAATGTATGGTCCATTTGATGTCCGATTTGAGCTATTTCTCTCGTGAGGCCGAAAAACTGCTTATGAGACCGCCAAATCGCTTAATCTATATGAACAAAATCTAGCTTTTTAATTTTTAAATAATTATTCGTAGAAAGCAGTTTAATATTATGACAAGCAGTGTATATATGTACGAAATAAATAATTGTGATTTTTTCGATAATTAACTTTTCCATGTGTATTTTCTCATCTAGCTGTGATACTAAACATTTCTGGATTTGCTATTACAAAATGGCATGAAAAACATTTAGGTAAAAAGCGCAATTTCTCCGGACGCGAAGATTATATGGAGTCCAAAACATTTTTGATGGGTTCGGAAAGTAGTGAGTGCAATTTTTATTTCAAGTTAAAAAGTTTTTATTAAAAAAAAATTATTATTCATATTTTCACAGGTCAAAATTTTACAATACAAACCGGAACTCATACTTATAATTTCGCCTGTAAGCTGCCAGAAGAATGCCCCACATCTTTTGAGGGTCTACACGGCTGTATTAGATATTTAGTGAAAGTAACACTGTTGATACCATGGAAATTCAATCAGACCTACACACGCGGCTTCACTGTGATGAAGATGCTCGATCTTAACTATGAATCGCCGCACATAAAAGTAGTTTTATAATTCGTTCCTCAATCCCTTATGATTATAAAAAGTATTTTTTTAGATACCAACAACCTCCGAAAACTATCGCTCCTACTGCTGCGGCCCTTGCAAAACGGAGCCAATAAAGATGCAAGTGCAACTACCACAAATCGGCTATGTGCCCGGCCAACGAATTCCCGTCACTGTGCTTGTGATTAACAACACTGGCATACCAGTGGCTGATATACGCTATGCATTGATAATGCTCGTACGTTACGCCAGTCCAGCACCACAACAACACTCGTGTCTCGAACGTATTACTATGACTACGGCGAAGGGTGAGTCTGTGTTGCGTAATTGTACGCGCTCACTGACGCAAGAGCTGCTTGTACCAGCCACTCCACCGACCTGCATACGTTCCTGTAATATTATACGTATTACCTACCAAGTGGAGGTTGAGGCGTATATGAAGGGTTGGTATGCTAATCAAACTATAACCATACCGGTTTTGATTGGCAATGTACCACTGTGGCAGACACCAGCGATTATACAACAACAACCGCGTAGTAGTCGTATGTCGATGGTTAGCGAGGAAGAAATTGTACTAGAAGGTGCCAACGTGGTTAAGGATGGACAGCAAACACCAACGGTTACTGCCGACACCCGGGGGCTTGGTGTCAGTGATGTTCAGTCACCGGTGGATATTTATCCGGAATTACGTAAGTGATGAAATGAGCAATATTTGAAAAGAAAGAAAGAACAAGGCATGAGAATTTGAGACAGAACAAAGAGGTTTCATATCTTTTATGAAGGAAATTGATTTATTTATTCACGTGGTACTGGTTAATTCATGTGAGCAATATGTAACGCGGGCATCGTCTGAAAATGTTCAAAATTGTAAGAAACCTACCGCTAGCTTTTAAATAATAGTATGCGAAAGTTTAAATAATTATGTAACCAATAAAATTAATCTAACCCAGACTCGGTAATAAAAATTACATTAGGCGCGACTCGATTTTTGTTCGGCTGAATATTCGCTGACTATAAAATTTACTTTCCAAATATCACCAACTTTTACTATTATACGAAAAGCACTGTCCAAATAAATTGAATTAAATAAAATTTGCAGCGCCATCTAGCGCAAATTTTATAATAAATGAGCTTGAGAAAAGAAAATTCTCGCATAGGAAATTAAGTATTTCTCAAAATTTAAAAAAAAATTCTGATTCTTCATTAAAAAATGAGTTTTTGGGAAAATAATAATGTGAATTGGATTGTAAATTAATTCATTTCGTACTACCATCAATAAAATGTTGCAAGCACAAGCTCAAACCGATTGTGGCGAAAAACTCAAGCTCTTGTGGTTGTTTCAAAGATTTAATGAAATTTCTACCAAATTCTAGATTTAAGTTTGCACATTTAAATTTAAAAGCTGCCCGCTTGTGGGCTGACCGAAAGGATCCACATGTTTTGAGATACACTCGGCTCCCACAAACCACAGAGCATCTACAATATGAGAACAGATAATACTTCTACATGGATTGTATATATAAGTTCCATAGTTCACTTTTTGGAATTGTACTAAATTTCAGTGGTATTTATTTTTATCTTTTCAACCCCAATCAATTATTTATCTTTGGCCATCACCACTACCCTGTGTTGAATACAATTTTGTTTTGAATCTGTTGAATGGTTATTGTATAAGCTACAAGAAAAATACCTAATTCTGAATTAAAACTTTATATTCAGCTTAAATATTAATAAAAATAATACCTAATAACATTAAAACATAATATTGTAAGAACTAAGAGGCTTTCTTCTTTTCAATAGCTCCACCATCTTACGAGGAATCCTTGCATACCTTACGTGGCGATATAAACGAAGATGATTTACATGCATTTGGGCCGTGTGAATTTGCACCGCTATATCCAGTATACGCTTTACCTTTGACACTAGCACCAACTGCACCGGTAACACCGGAACCCGAGCGCGGTGGTTATATAAATCAAAATTTTCAAAGTGACAAAATTTGAAGCTAATTAGCAAATTGTAAAATGAAACTTTTTTAAAATTGCAATAATACCTTTTTGTAAATATTATATATCTGATAAAGATAAAAATTCTATTGAAATTTAATATAGACAATCGCAAAAAATATACACGATGTAATTTTCTGTAATAAAATTTTGAGTTAATTTATCATGAATTGAAAATGACTTTAAATTAAAATGCTTTTTGGATGAGTATAACACTTTCAACGGAAGTTTGGAAAACACCATTTGGAGAAGCTTTTAGCTTGTATAAACCTTTGAGCTTTGATTTTCAAAAGTTCAAAAAGTGTTCTTTTGTGCTTGCGAAGAGGGTTGAGTTCAAAAGTAAAATAGTATGTGTTTCAAGTAAAAGCTTTGCTTAATAGCTTAAGCTACTATAAATAAGTTTAGAAAGATTGAAAGCTTCAAAATAATTATTTAGTAGCTAACCTATAATTTCCGGGTAATAAATATTTATAGAGTTTGCTTCAATACTATTACTATAAAAGTAAAATAAAGCTTATGGGAACAACCGCAAAGCTTCAAAAAAATACTTAGAACTTACATTGTAGGGCCTTAAAGAGTTTATGGATTGAAATTCCCAATACAATTACGAGTGCTTTTAGGAAAATATGTAAATAAATTATATTTTCATTTTATTTAATTTATAAACTATAAATTATGGCTATATTTTTCGAAAAAAATGCAAAGAAAATATTGGGAATATAATTATCTATTTATTTTTGAAGAAGAAACATAGAATTTTATGTTCTCACTTTTGTGAAATGTGCTATAAATATTACATATCTACATTGTAGCAGTTCTTTGCAAAGATTGAAGTCATTAAATTTAGTAAGACTACGCCTGTGTGAAAATTCAAATACATTTATCATCGGTTATTCAATTTCGGCGAGTACTTGTATTTAGCCTAATAAATTATTTAATTTCATAATATTTATATGTTTCAATTTTCCCTTTGCTTTTCTGTAAGATTTGAGCTTGGATCATAGGTTGACGACTTGCAGTTTTTTTGTCAGTTTTTCCTAGGTCTACAGTCAACTATTTCCATTTTACCTAGTTTATGGGGATGATATAATGCCGAGTTCTCTTTTGCTTAATTCAAGTAACAGTCTGGTCTGTCTTCAACCTAAGCTTAGCTACAAATATTTCTTGGTACATCCTACCTTAGAAGTTATCCACGATATAAGATGCTCATTTTTCGTCATGTGCCTAGAAAACATTTGATACCACAGAAGGGTTTAATGACAGCTACGCCATGGTATGTCCGCTCATCCTGCCATTTTCCTAGGTAGAGTTGTAGTCATTATGTCTAAAGATGCTTTGATTATTCCGGCAGTCAAATAAGCACTTAACTCCTTCGCTTGCCTCGTATAAATATCTAGCGGTATAGATATAGATATCTTCGCTTTTACCGATTTCCTTTTCTTTGTAGCACCGTTCGCTTAGTGCGGGTTCTCCCTTAAATCATTTTAAAAAAGTTTTGAAGATTAAGTTCGGAAGGAACCGAAAAGTAGATACTCAGCGAATACACCTAATTCTCTGAATATCTAATTATTCTAAATATCGCACATAAATAGAAGACTTGTTGCATGGGCGTTATGTCTATTTCTGGACCCAAATGCGACTTTAGACCACATAAATACAACATATGACCATGAGTTTAGCGGAGACTGGAATCGTTTATAGTATCGAAATTCAATTGGGTTCTGTGTAGTGGGTTTTAAAAAATATTTCACCGTTAACCCAACATTTTATTTCAGCCCACTCAAGGTTAACTGAACTCAACTTCGCTCAAATACTTTAGCGCACGTACTTGTGACCCAAATAAACATGTGAACGGGGTTTCACTAAAATATCACAATCCTTTCCTGAGCTATCGGACGAAAATACACATATGGCTAGATCGATTCCTATGGTCGTGCTATACAGTTTTATTTTGGCTTCATAAATCTGAAGTTGAATGCAAATACGTAAAAATCTTAACACAGATATCAGTGCCAGTAACACTGACTTAAGAACAGAAAGAAACTAGTTTCTGCAGTCCGCTTACCGAAACTAAATTTCCTTTTGCACGTACTGCTCTAGCAACTTGTATTTCTCTCGAAAAAGCTGTCCATGTATTGGAGTATTGTCAGAGAAAATTTTTTTGTTAAATTATTGTGGCGCCAACTTATATCCAATTATTGAAATTCAATTTACCAGTAGCTATTTCTGTTTTTTTTTCTTGCTTTTGAAATGAAATTCCGATATTTCTCATTTTGACATGCAATTTGAAGTTAATTAATTTCCACATCTGACTGCACTGTTACATAATTTGATGTCCCTCAACACAACTGTTAACTGAGCAAGCTTACTACTCTGTATATCTGTATATGTACGAGTAGAAATAATTATTTGACAAATAACTAGTTATAGAATAATCTCTACACTGCCTTCGACTGACCTAATTTGTGTTCTCCAAGAAGAGCAGTTTATTGAAGATCCATTGAAAGCATCCCTTCAACAGTTGATTACTACATACGTAAGTGTAAAAATTTTAGCAATAATATATATGTATACATATTAATTGCCTATAGTAGCATCAATTGATATGTATGGAGGACAAATATCAACTAAAGGTTCTTAAGATGATACGGGCTAATTAGTCACTAATACATATGTATATTGTGGCCGAGAGTGTCAATGCCTTAGAGTGCAAAGTCTGACAGATTCGTATGAGGAGCTACTTTCGAACACATCGGCTTATATACTTCTTGGTTTAAAACTTAACTGCCAAACTAAACAAGTTTTGTATAAGTCAAAAGTCAGGCATTTATGATAATGGTTCGCTTAACAATTGCTAAAACTTGCAACAAAAATGGTGTTGCAAACGTAATCTCATCGCATGGTTTTAGAGAAGATTATGATGCAAAGAATTGTTTATCTAATCAAGCGATTGCTAAATTCTAAAAGAAATTTGAAGTCACCAGATCGGTTGCATGGAGTGTAAGACCTGTGCTTCATTGCTTTCTTCGTACCACCTAAAATATCGCTACTTCAGTTGGGAGTGTAGCCGAAGCCCCATACGTGCCTACTTCTGGATGTTCTCAAGAACTGGGACTTTTTAACCATATATAGTTATGTATTTTGTGCTTACTCATCTACATCCAGGACTCCGTCCTCAAGTGGCCACCAAGATAGTGCGATTTGACACTGTTGGACCCTATTTCTTGGATTATGAGAAATACCGTCTTCAAAAAGGTATATCTGTAACTCTTGGACACTTGAAAACCATCATTCGTTAAGTTAGAGCTGAGTAGTCGTCTAATATGTGCCAACAGATAGTCGTAAAATTACATCAAACAGATTGAATATTGCAAATATTCGTGAGGCTGCCATTTGAGAGATGTCGAATTTTACATATATACTACTGTCTTCAAACCTTATAATCAAGAAGGAGCTTTGTCAAAAAAAAAAAAAAAAAAAAAATGTTTTAAATGTGTTGTATTTACGTTTATTTGGAAATGAGTAACCCTGTATGTATTATATATGCCTGAATGCATCTGCATTTTTGAAACAATAACAAAAAAGAGATTTAGCTTATAATTGCTAATATAGAATTTCCTGTTTAAGAATCAGCAATATCATATATACAGACATTCGACTACATGAATACAGTAATAAAGTAATAAAGTAAAGTAAAAGTAAAATTCAGCATAAAATAATGTGATTATATTTTCCCAAAATTTTTCAATCAATGTGAACAGCAGAGTTTTTCTTGAGGAGTAAGACAAGGCTGCTTTACAAGGTATAACATTTTTTTTTACTCTCAGGATAATGAATTAACGAACTGGCGAATTTGTAAAAAAAAATTCAGTGTTTGAGTCAGAGAACCGTGAAAACGAGAAGCTAGCTAGAAGACCTCTGCTGAAGGAATCAGATACAATATTTTTAGTTAATGCAGGTAGCTGCTTGAATAAAAGAGTACAAAGTCATTACTATTCCTGAACCGGACGTTCATTGACATCACTCACCATAAGAGGATCTGCTATTTCTGTAACCGCTTCTGTCGCAGATACAAGCACATAGATCAGGAGTAGTGGTCATTTGCCTGCCTCTGCCTAATACTCAGTATGGCCCGACATCGTTTCCTTGGAAATTTCTGTTTCCACTATCTTGCAGAATTTACTTCAAAAGGTGGGTTTCATAATTCATTACTAAATAATATGTATCACAACTGGCCAAGTGTGATCGATCAGTGTTCCGCGATCTGGTAGCCTAAACAAATAATTAATTAGCTAACTACAGGTATAACAATTACTGAGAGACTTGACTTTGGCGCACTATTTCCTAACGCCGACCCTTCAGATGTTGTCATCGTCATTGCCTATTCATTGGATTTGCCAGGCTGACATTGCTGATGGTGTTATCAATGGTTCCGAGATAGACGAAATTATCACCGACTTCAAGGTTATGAACAATAAATTGTGAGACGAGTCGCGAACGCTATATTTGTTTGTTTGATGGCAGGAGATATTTTGAGCCATAGACTTCGCTTTCTTATTCTGTCATGGGTATGCAGAATTCACGGAGCGGTTGCTGAGACCGAGAATGTCAATAGTATCAGCGTACGCCAGCAGCTTATACTCTTATAAAACGTTGTGATTTCTCTATTCAACTCTGCAGTTCGTATTATTTTCTCCAGATCGGAGAGGTTTTTCCCGATTTCATAGCAGCTTTTATTGTTTCTTAAGGTCAGTGTGCACAGCCATGTAAGTTTTGCAGGAAGCTCTTCTTCGAACTATCGAACGCTGCTTTAAAATTGACAGACACTTGAAATGTGTCGATCATTTTTTCGTTATTGTTTATTCGAGATATGGTGAATATCTGGTAATTTCTGATAAAGTCCAATCAGTTTATTGACGGAAAACGTTACTCTTTCACACGATACGATCGATAAGACCTTATCTGTGATATTAAGGATGCATATTTCACAGTGATTGGCGCAGACGATGGCGTCTCCCTTTTTATAAATTGGGCACACTTATATTGGGCCTTGATATTTTTGAAGCGAGCGATTCATAGTCGGGCAATGAAGTATTATAAATATCCCTTCGTCATCGATTGGGAAACCGGGTTCACCATTGCTCCATATTCGTTGCCATTTAGCCAGCTG